CTGAGGGCAAAGAGTTGCAATTTCTTTGTAGGAGCATTCAGCTGGCAGAGCCACAGGACCCTGGTGTGTTTTCGACCAGGTGTTCACTTCCTGTTCTCCCCGTCTGGGACACATGTGTTTAGGAGAATCCCTTTGCTGTTCCGGCTTTTATTATTGCTAAATATTCCAAAAAACACCTAGATTGTAGTGTAATTACTGCAAAAGCCTACCAGACAGAGAGAATCATTTTTTGATGATGTCACCTGTATTTAAGTCTCTATTTTCTCGCTATGCATTCAAGCTCTCATTCTCAATTTGCCAACACTCTGGCCCTCGAGTATCCTGGTTTTCTTGTATTTTTTATGCATTTGCATTCAACTGTCTATCACCCGGTGGAAATGATGGATATAATGAGCTGCCTAAATCTGTGATGCTGTCCGGAGCAGCTTAGAATCTCTCCAAAACGGTGCCCATTCTTATGTGGTCTGTGTAACACTGACCAGGTAGAACACGGGACTTTTTCAAATGCTGTAAGCAATCGTGCGTCTGGAAGGAAAGGCTGCACAAATGAGGCGTGCGGCTCTGGTGCAGGCCTGCTGGTGTCTCACATCAGATAGCTGCACTGACAGTCTCCAGACCCGCCTGTTTCCATTACGCTGGGGACCTGCTGGCGTCCGCAGCGTTTCACAAAGCATTCTGTCCCAAGAACATTTTCCCATAGTTTGTTAATGTAAACACCTTAAAATGTCATTTAAAGTCAGTGTTTAATACTCAGCCTTTAATGCCTGTGTCTGTGATATACGATCCAAATGATATGCTTGTAGATAATAACATTAAGTTCATAACTCATACAGTTTGAAAGAAAAAAAATCTAAAATTTAATTTATTAAACATTTATCTACCTTTGGCCCTATACTGGATGGATGGATGGATGGATCCAGTCTTTGGGTTTGCCTGACCTGATGTGATGTGGCTCAGCAGCCCAGAGGCCAAACATACAGTAAGCGTGCTTCCTGGAACCACACACTGCTAGGCTGGGCTTCAGTATGTACATTCCTCAGTGTGCAGTACCGGTCAGGGGCATTTCACAGGGGTCCTTTTGTCCCGCCCTGTTGTTGTCATTGGGGTATGAGTGCTAGGCTTCTCATACCGGGTTAGGTGTGATTCATAGATACGACAGTAGTATATGAAAAATAACTCTGAACAGTGCTGGGGAGCAGCTAATGTAAATATAAAAAAAGCAGAAACTCCAAAAATGACAGAACTGCAGAAACTTTGCTTGCACTTCTTGGCTTTTGTGGAGTGACCCAAACAGACGGGCTGCTGGCTGCACCTGGCTGGTGGTTTGCAGCTTAATGAGGACATCACCTTTTTTATTGTTACTTTTCAGAACGGGTTATGCGGCCCATATGGGTGCCGTGTTTAACCAGGGCACCCAGCTGACTGGGTCGCCCTCTCATGCTTTTATATGGAAGCCTGCCTGCAACCACATTATTTACTGTCAGAGTTCACGTCAGTTTGCTGGTCTATCAGTCATGTCGTTTTTGATGTCAAGAGCTGTGAAAAGCTGATGCACACCTGTGTGACTGGAGCGGAGTTTGACGAGAATCTGGGCTGTTTCCGTCCACTCCACTGTGTGCTTATCAAGATCCAGTTCATTCTGAAAAACTTTAATACAATAATAGATGATTTCAGAGTGCCAGGTTAGCACATGCCCTCAAACAAGCCTGACACATTTGTGGCAGGTTTAGGGCCCTTTAAACAGCCTCAGTTCCCTTATACATCTGGAACCCTAACCTGTTTCTTTTTTATGAAAGGAAGTGAGGTCAAAGTGCAGCTCAATATTTATGTTTACGGCTCAAGTCTTAACATAGAGAGATTCAGCTCAAGAGTCATGGGTTCCATTGTTGGAAAAATGTTCTTTTAAACCAGGAAATAATTGTATGTGTGTGTGTGTGTGTGTGTGTGTGTGTGTTATGTATTTGCGGTTCCCACAATAAGATAAAATCCTGTTATTTTGACAGTGTAGGGACCACTTTTTGGTCCCCACTAGGAGAAACTTAATTTAAAAAAATCTATGACTAATCAAAAAAGTAAAAATACAGATAGTCTTGTACAGTGGTACCTCAGAACTCGAACTTAATCTGTTCAGAACTCCGGATTGAATCCTAAAAAGTTCGAATTCTGATCAAATTTTACCCATAAGAAATAATGGAAAACCAATTAATTGGTTCCCAGCTCAAAAAAAAATACACCTAAATATGTTTTTTTTAGCATTTAAACACAAAATGAACCTGATAAAACAAGAAGAGCATATACTGTACTAAACACATCTAAGCACATTTATCAAAACAGTAATTTGTAAAGTAAGAAAATAAATGTATCCAAACAATGTGTAAAGTTTAAAAAAACCCGATGTGTCCTGCCCCTATCGTCCTCCTTCCGTGTGCCACGCCCCCTCATTAACCCCGTGTGGAATCCCTGTGTGATCAGCTGTTTCTGGTTGTTTTCATTAGCTCTCTGTATTTCCTCCGCTTTTCAGTTTGTTTCCCCAGTCCGGTCATTGTATTGTCCGTCTGCGTTTTGCCTGCCTTACCTGTAATTCAACCCCATATTCCCTGATATCCTGACATCTACACCTTTGTCTCCGTTCCGTCCCCGCTCGGCACGACAATATTATCATAATTAAATGTATTAATGGTTTATTATTAATATTAAAAGAATGAATAAGAAATCTTTATTTTTAAATGTATTTTATTATATAATAATAATTACTGTTGCTGTTTATCATTGTCTAAATGTATTTTTACTGTCTAAACATATGTATTCAGCTAGTGTAAACATGCACGATGCAGCGAATGCAAGGCTGAGACTGAAGCTTTACCCTTTAATTGTTTTCGCTGAGAGACGTGCTGCGTGACTCATTTCCCCGCGTGTACAAGTTATCTTAGGTTGGCTTTCACTTCTGAGATTCAGATTGAGTTCTAGGTAATTTTTTTTTTCAAACTGGTTTTAAGAAATTCCAGTTCTAATGAGTTCGAGAACTGAGGTACCACTGTATTTTGTTAGGTTACTTATGGTTAGGGTTAAGACTGGGTAGGGGTTAAGGTTGTCATTGTTAGGATTAGGATTATGCCCATAGAAATGAATGGATAGTCCCCACAAAAGATATGAATACAAATCTGTGTGTGTGTGTGTGTGTGTGTGCGTGTGCTTGTGTGTCTGTGTGTGTGCTGCGTGTGTATTTGTGTGTCTGTGTATGTAGTCCAGATACACCTTACCTTGTGGGGACCAAATGTCCATACAACGTGATGAATACCTGTTTCTATTCACCTTATGGAGACAAGTTTCCTGGTTTCCTGATCTCCAAACTCAATTTTGGTTAGGGCTGGGCAGGGGATAAGGTTGTCATTAGCGTTTTTCCTATAAAAATGAATAGGCAGTCCCCAGAAAGATATAATTGCAGGTATGTGTGTATGTGTGTGTGTGTGTGTGTGTGTGTGCGTGTGTGTGGGGGGATTTGCATAGATCACATTTGAGGACCAATTTTGGATAACTTCAGTTTTATAAGCATCTGTGAATGCAATCGAAAAAGTAAAAATGCCAAAAGTCTTGTATTTGGGTTGGTAACTTATGATTAAGGTTAGGGATGGGTAGAGGTTAAGGGTGTCATGATTGATTTTTCCCATAGAAATTAATGGACTGTCCCCATTTAGATAGGTACCAACTTGTGTGTGTGTGTGTGTGTGTGGAAATGGCTGTGGATAGTCATCACAAACAGGGAATGTGCAAAACTGCTGATCACTATCTGATACTGCCTTGTGAACGTTACACTGTTTCTTAGACATGGGTGGGCAGGCAGACATTGTATAGACAGTAGCATTACTAAAGTAGCTATATCTCCATTTGTAGCATTAATTAATCTTGTTCTTATTCTCATACTGACCATGAACCTTGTTAACCTCTAACCACACTAATATCTCAAATACTGCAATGTAATTTCACTGTGCCTTTGATGTCTGCAGTATTACTGGCATCATCATATCATCATCATCCGTTCAGTCGAGTACGACTCTCGGCCACTCTATGGATCAATGCTTTCCATGTCTTCCTATCTATCGTGACTTCTTTCAATTCTGCTATGCTCAGTCCAGTATCTTCCTTGATGGTGTCTAGCCAGCGAGTTCTTGGGCGTCGTCTTCCTCTTTTGCCACTAACCATTCCAAGCATGACGTCCTTCTCCAGTGATTTGCTTCGCATGCTGTGATCAGGTATGATAAGTCCTTTTCTTGTGTCTAATTGGCTGTAGACTTAAAAGTTCTATATATTTATCTAACAATTAATAGTGATAATTAGTTTAATGGGGAAAAATACAGCTTTATTTAAATATATGTTGGCCATTGATTACATCATCATCTAATTCCTTGAGCGTATGCATTATCAGAACTTAAGGCCATTAGAAGTGGCAGCTCGCCATAATAATCCTAAAGAGAATCTGTTCATGCATTACAAGGTTCCCATAATGCAGCGCCTAAAATTGTCAGAGGCAATATTGTGCAAACATCCTTTTTCTGTCTTTACTGTCCTGTTTTTTGTCTGTGTCAGTGTCTCAATCATCTACAATAAAATTAAACCATTCAACCAGAAATCTATTTTCCAACAAAACTGCACAGTTGTTTATTTGTTAAAGTTGATCCTTTTACAGGGAACACACAGTGTGTGAGTTGGAAGGTGGTATTCACCTGTTACTGATCATACCCGGGGAATATATACGTAAAATGGACTTAAGACATCACCTCATAAAATTTCCCCATGAACTTTATTGAAATAGCTTTGTGAACTTACTTAACTGCGCGCTTAAAATTAACAGCACATTATGTGATTGTTTATGATTTGAAACCTTATGAACATTCGGGGAGAACTTGTAAGGTCCCAGTACTGACCGACAGCAGCTGGACAGCTTCTGTGCCTAACAGAGGGGAGGTAAAACAATGCTACAACTGCCTGTCGCTTCCTCCCAGCCAGGTCTTTAGACAAACTGTACAACTTCGCCGACTGTGCTGGGCTGCACCTTGTCTTCGGCCTGAACGCCCTGCATCGAAACCCTGACAATTCCTGGAATGGATCCAGTGCCCTCAGCCTGCTCAAGTACAGCGCTGGCAAGAAGTACAACATATCCTGGGAGCTGGGCAACGGTGAGCGATGTTGGGCTGCGATTGGGCTACACCCCACACACTGCAGCGACCGCACAGACACCTTGGCAAGCCACATACCTGCTGGGAGATGGGTTTCTCCAAGTGCAGAGGAAGGGTCAAATTCATTGTTGACTATGCAGGAGAAGGCGTGGCTTCGGAATACTGTCACTGTACAGGACACTCTGGAATGCTGCCTTTTGCCTCCCAACCATCTCTCTAGCTGGTCAGGTGCTGTTTGGCATTACAGAGTGGAGCTACCATTTGGAAGCTGTTTCTGGGATGTGAATTTTCAATAAGGTCAGTTGTTTAAGTAAGACTAACCAGAACAAGAGGCCTAGTTTGAGTTTAGGTTCGGATGGCGAAGGATCTGTTCTTTTCAATTTAACATCTTTTATGTCCACATATTAAACAGATTTTTGGAAGAGGGACTTGTCTCTTTTTTTGGGTGGGGGGGGGNTGGGCCCAGGAGCAAGGTCTGTGTGCACATAGAGAGCAAGATGGGGTAGGCGAAGAGAGGAATTCCAAAGGACCTGTACTCATATTTAAGAATTTAAGAATTTTATGGATTATCCAGCTAAAAAAACAGTGCAGAATCAGACTGAAGAGATGTTGGCCGAAGTCTCCAGTGGGTGTCCCCATATGAGGGATCGTGGACTTCCTGACAGCGGGTGGCTACCTAATGGAGCAGTCATTCCTCCCCATGCGATGTGCAATGTCTTGCTCTCACTGCAGCCCCTGTCCCCCCCAGAGCCCAACGGCTACCGCAGCGTGGCTGCCCGCACGCTCAACAGCAGCCAGCTGGCGCAGGATTTTGCCCAGCTGCGCACGCTGCTGCAGTCGGTGCGCTACTATAGTCGCGCCAACCTGTACGGCCCCAACATTGGACGCCCCCGCAAGAACGCCATCCTGCTGCTGGAGGGGTGAGTGGGCCAGGGGCTGTGGGTGGGTGGAATGTTATTTTGGTAGATACTGTGGGCAGACGGCTTTCACCTCACAGGTTAACCCCTGTGGCTCTAGTAAGGTATGTATTTTGAACATTTTGATAAATATGTGATGCCTATCAGATTTAGAGCGTCTAGATGACCGTTTAAAACGTCTAAACAATTATATGATTGCATGAACATTTCTGTTAAATCTCTGCCAACACCCACAGTTGAATAACAGACCTCAAGAAATTTAAACAAGGTCAGCGGACTACCATCATCGTGTTATGGCCACACTGATCATGAATGAAAAGCTGCTGGACTGACATCTCGCGTAATGCTGAAGGGGTCTGACACGGCATTTCATGTCTGCTGCAACTCCATGGCCATGACGTTTCTGAGCGTAGGGCGTGTATGGGGGCTGCCTGCAGAGGGGAAGAAGTAGCATAGATCCTGCGATTCACACCAGACAGGAGATGTTTATTTCACGGCCAAGGGACTGCCCACGCTTTAAATAGCTTGTCAGCTAAATAAAGTGTCACTCGACTAATAGTGTGACAGAGCAATGTCCCACCTGCAGCCTCATCGGCCGGATCACCACGTGGCATCGGCAGTGCAGCCATCATCCGTGTGCAGCGCTCACGGCTGTGCAATGTAATGTGTGTAGTTGGCATCTGCACAGCAGAGCGGTCCTGCCCAGGGCTCCACGGTGAAGCCGTGTGCATTAAGATGAAATGAGCCATTCAGCATGGCCATGTGATAATGAGTCATGTAAAAGGGGGATTTAAATGTATTTTGAATTCATTTTATTGGAATGTCACTTATCAACACCAGATGGTTATCTCTGCCATTTGAACCCACACCCCAGTCCATACGCACCCAAACAATCAGTTTCCACTGCGGCAAAGCTGTCGGATAGCTGAGTTTGATTAGTACACCTCCGCAGCTGTTTGATCAGTCTCACCGTCGGTGTACAGATTTGTGGCACGTCCCGCAGCGAGCTCCTAAATCTTCCTGACACCTCAGGTCAGGGGGGTAAGACCGGTCTCACAGGAGAGGGGCCTAAGTATGGCTCTGTGGGCTTTGTGTTTGAGGACAGCCTGGGGGCACCTCTTGCTCACTGTATGACCAAAGGTTAATGGGCCACCCCCCAGCTGGGGGTGTGTTTGGAAAGAGGCCAGAGGTAGAGCCTGTGTTAGTCTGCACTGTGAGCACATATGAGTGCCTGGCAGTTACAGTTAAATAACTGAGTGTTAAATACTGTTTATTTCTGGAGGGATTTAGATCCATCAATCCAAATGAAAAGTGCTTCATATTTGTACTTTATAACCCGTAATGTTCTGCTGCTCTGACGCTAGCTGTTTTATTTACTTTCCAAACTAAAAAGGCAGTGCTTCTTAACCCAGTTTGTACATGTTCCTGTATTAATATATATCTCTTCTGAGGGTATTTGGATGGTATGTTCAGGTATTGTTTCAGGAATTAATGATTTTAACTAGATTAGTCTTCTCTGCTTCACAATCAATGGGACATATATAAATACATTCTTTCCTAAGAATAAATCTCATTAAAATAGTTTTAAAATGTATACAATGGACATTACACCTCCATGACCAAGTGTACATATTTCTGTACGTAGTGCCAAAATTTTGGAGAAACTTACATTTTGTGACCATTTATTAAAAATGCAGCTCCACCTGTCCTAGCTACCTTCATTTGTGGAAGCAGTCTGCTGTAGCTCTCTGTCTTTTTAAAAGGCTTGTAGGACAATCTATAGACTAAGGCCATGAATCCTTCACCCAGCATTTGAAGATTACCTACCGTCTTGATGGATGGCACCTGAGCTGTCAGAGTACTTGCTAACACGTGTTACGCATGTTTTGCTTCTTGACACGGTACTTTGTGAAAGTAACTGGCCAAAAAATTTAAATAATGCCACTCTCGTCATGACATGCCGCAGACGTCATGCTTTATGGCCTTGTGGTTGGTATTATGTCACATTAGTTCAGTTACTTTTGGTTATTTGTTTATAAAAATGCATTTCTGGTTTATTTTGAGGAAGGTGAAAGTTCCGCCATTTATAATGAATCATGCTGCTACACTGACTAAGTGCTTTATTAGGAATAGCTGCACACCTGCTAATTCTTGCAGTTATCTCATCAGCACAGTCATGTGGCAACAGCTCAATGCAGAAATTCATGCAGATACAGGTCAGGAGCTTCAGTTAATATTCACATCAAACACCAGTGACTTTGTCGTGGCATGATTATTGGCGCCAGACGGGCTGGTCTGTGCATTTCTGTAACTACTGATCTCCTGGGATTTTAATGTACAACAGTCTCTAAAGTTTATTTGGAATGGTGGGAAAAAATTAAAAACATCCAGTGAATGGCAGTTCTGCAGACAGAAGTGCCTTGTTGTTCATAGGAAAATGGGCAGACTGGTTTAAGCTGACAGAAGGGTTATGATAACTCTGATAACCACTGTGTACATCTGTGGTGAGCAGAAAAGCATCACAAAATGCACAACATGTCAAACCTTGAGGCTAATAGGCTAAAACAGCAGTAGACCATGTTGGGTTCCACACCTGTCACCCAAAAACAGAAAACTGAGGGTACAGGCTCATCAAAACTGGACAATGTAGCCTAATCTGATGAATCTTATTGAATCTGTCAGGTCAAAATTTTGTGTCAACAGCATGAATCTATGGACCCAACCTTCCTTGTGTCAGCAGTCCAGGCTGATGGTGGTGCCATAATGAACAGGATGTTTTCTTGGCACACTTAATACCAATCAATCATAAGTTAAATCCCACAGCCAGTTTGAGTATTATTGCTGACCATCTGCATATCGTTATTGCAACAATTTACCCATCTTCTAATGGCAACTTCCAGCATGACAACGCACCATGTCACAAAGCCAAAAATTGTCTCAGACTAGTTCCATAAACATGACAGTGAGTTCAGTGTTTTTCAGTGACCTTCCCAGTCACAGGATCTGAATCCAGTTCAACAGTTTTGGGATGTGGTAGAACAGGCGATTCACAGCATGGATGTGCAGTTGACAGATCTGCAGAAATTGTGTGATACAAGCACATCAGCAAGGACCAGAATCTCAAAGGAATGTTTCCAACATCTTGTTCTATGCCATAGAATTGAGGCTGTTTTCAGAGCAAAGGGAGGCCCTCCCTAGTATTAGTACAATGTTCCTAATGAAGTGCTCAGTGAGTGTATATTGAAACAAATGTCTTGCTTGAATTAGGCTAAAATGGTTCAAATTGTCCCTGTTTGCTATTAGAAGAGCTTTTGAGGGTGCATTATACCCTAGCACTCACTATCAGCTGTGTTTTGTTGGAACTGATATTAGTTGGTAGCCACTCTGTGCGTGTAAAGTATGGGCAGCGTTCAATGTACTGCTGCAGCAGCGTTTCATTCACATGTACAGCACACTTACACTTGGCAGGATCCCTTCATTCTGCCTGTTTGGAGGCCGTCACTTCTTGGTTTGGCTGTGCCCATTTCCGCTGCTGCTCTTGGCTTGGCCCCAGGCTTTCGCATATGGTGTAGAAACCAGGGCAAGGATTTAAGCCATTCTTATACTGAGCTGTGGTCTTTCACTTATACCTGCCTCAGTTCAGATGTTTGTAAGTGATGAGGTCAGTGGTGATGTGGAGTGGGAAGTGGAAGTGGAAACGGTGTGGCTAGTAGGGATGTGCAGAGAACACCGTATTTGTATTTCTATTTCTTGAGCAGTAAAATTATTTGTGTTTGTATTTGAATAAATGTGGAAATAGGTGTAACATTCCAGTTTTTTTATTACACTTGTAATTTTAGGATAATAAAGTGTTAATATAAGTGTTCTTCAATAAACTATTGCTGGGCTTATGAAAACCATAAACCAACATTACATTTAAGTGTTCATAATTATTGTAATAAACATGTATAACCATAAACAGCATTGAAAAGAAAAGCATTTCAAACATAACATTCAGTTCCTACTGCCCACTCAAACCAATAAACTAAACTCTAAAGTAATAAATGCCTATGTGAACATTGGAGGACGCCCTAATAGGAGAACACTGAACAGATAGAATGTAAACAAAAAAAATCCATTGTACATAAAAACTGTTCTCTCTGAAGTACCGTATGCCAGGAACTAAACCTTAATTAACCCTTGCTTGAGGGAACTGGCAGAACACAAGTTTGGGTTATCTTCTCTCCAATAGTATGTTAGGCGACTTGGATACTATGCGAACATTATAATATGCTGTATACATACCTTTACGATACCGCACCATACTGTTCCTGTACTCCCTAAAAAGCCAAAATACTTTGAATACACATAAAAAAATTACTTCCCAAAAGCAAATCATTTTTATAATCTTTGTACAGAAGAAAGATTAGTAACAAACCCACTATTTGTGCTTTGCCGAATACCGTATTCGGATTCAGCTCCACTCCTAGTGGCCAGTGAGGCCTGTTTGCTCAGGAAAGGTCTTACAATGGGAAGGTCTTACAGCTTCACCATCCTTTAATCAGTAAAGTCATCGGATGGTGGCGCTCACACACAGTCTCTGTGGCTTTAGAGAGTGAGAAGTCCGTGTGTGTGACCCCAGGTATGCCCCCTGTGAACTCTTTCTGCCAGCTGCAGCGCAAACGTCACTTTTACACTACAACTGCACTATTTTCCCCTTTGTTTTTAATTTATATCGAATAATTGAATAATGTCAAAATGTTGCATGAGCTCATTTTGTCATGTTACTTTTCTCAACAGGTTCATGAAAAATGCTGGTTCCACTGTAGACGCAGTTACGTGGCAACAGTAGGTATTCTGCCCTTTTTATCTTCAGTTTTTATTTCGCACAAGGATGTAGTTATTACATACATCATTTTGGGAATTATAAGATATAACATAAATATTAATACCACTGTTTAATCCACTAAAGCAGTGTTTCCCAATCCAATCCTTGGAGACCCACAGACAGTCCATGTTTTTGCTCCCAGTGTTTCCCAATCTAATCCTCAGAGACCCACAGACAGTCCCTACCAGGAGCTGGGAGGGAGCAAAAACATGGACTGTCTGGCAAGAAGTTCAGAAGTAGCAAAAACTTGGACCGACTGTTGGTCCCCAGGGACCGGTTTGGGAAACACTGCACTAAAGTATTATGCACACCTTCAGCTGCTCACCGTATCTATCTGTAAATCTCTTAAGTCTGAAGTCTTCCTCTTTAGAACGGCAACATATTTTTAAATAGACGTCATCATTGACTTCATTCTGCTTCATTCTACACTCACAGTCACCTAAATATCAGTGTAAATACTAGAGGTTCATGATGAGCCTGAGTTTTCCGGCCCACTATTGTGAGCCTTCTTCCTGCAAATACTCGCTGCTCCTCGTGAATCAGGTCTCAGCAAGCTCATAATCGCAAACACCTGTCTCTAGGAGCGTTTCTCAGATGCGGCTCCCGCCGCTGCATGCATGCCTGCGCTGCACACATGTTTACTCTAATTTGAGCCTTTTCTTTTAATCTCATAAAGTTTGCTCAAATCAAAGTGCAGTAAAAAGTCCCTTTTTGTTAAAAGTATGCTGGAAGTTTAATCCTGTGACCAGCTGCACCAAAGCAGCGGCAGGCACAGTTTCCACATTAGCTCTTCTCAGTTGTTTTTTTGCCATGTTTTGTTTTGTTTATTCTTACTGACTTTGTAGTTCACATTTTACACATTTTTACACACATTAGACAGCTAAATAGATATCCACAGGGACTGATATTGGCATAATAAAGGCCTAATTTCTCTGTGCGATATATTTAGAAATTGGTCAGTCATGTAAAAACTAGCGTAGTGTAACCTTTTAGTGTCATATTAACATTGCTTAGTGTAATTCAGAATAGCTTCTAATTAGTCGTTCTGCAACAAAAATAACAGGTTCATTAATAGTGTGATGAACGTGGATGGCAGTGTGATGTATGCTCCTTCCCATCAGGGGAATGTGACACGCCCCCCCACCCGGCAGCTGTGGCTCTCATTACCCAGTGCATTCCTTGGATTATTAAAGCGAAAGGTTTTATAAATGACTAGAGCATGTTCTTATCAGAGAGGCCGTAATCCCCTGTAATTGTTGCCCTTGTGCGTGTGACTGACAGGTCACATGGGCGGGCAGAAGGCCCAGCTCCTGCACACAGCTTCACTTCTGTTGTGATCAGCGTTGTTTGGGAAGAGTGGTCCACATGCAGGCAAGAACTTGCATTGTGCCTATTCCTGTTACGGCGCTGTTTAAGTAGCCTGGCTGTATGATGTGCCTGTTTGGAGGAGGAGAGAGAGGCGTCTGAAGGTACGCACCGTACGCTGTATGCTGAGCCTGCGTGCCATTATGGCCCATTTTAGCTGTTTAGTCAGCCCACATGCTGCACCCCTGTAGATCAGAAGCAGGTGCAGGCATTGTGTGCTGTCCATACCCCCTCCAGCCACTGCGGAAGCTGGCTGTGCACTGGAAGAGGACTGAACAGAGTCAGAAGTTCAGCCCTGCAAGAGCTGAGTGGAAAATGAGTTGCCAACCAAAGCTTTTAAAAGTAATTAAGAGCATTGTGCTAATTTGAAGAGGTGCTGATTTTCCCTCTGTAACTAGCAGGAGTCCTGTGTCTGGGCCTCTGGGGGCTCCAGGGGCTACGGTCTGACTTTGAACACTCTAATTGCCGACTCATTAAAGTATAGGTCAGCCTAATTAAAGAGAGCAGAGCGTCACGCTAAAAAGCCGTCAAAGGGATGAGTGGGAATCTCACGTTCCCTCTGGAATGCCTCACATTCTCAAGGTGTGCGGGCAGCACCAGTCTCTGTGATCCAGAAGAGGCTTGTTGGAGTACCCCATCCCTGAGTGTCCTTCCGGGGAACATAGCGATGAAGCCGGCTGGCACACTGCAAGCACACCGCAGACCTGCTTCTTAGCTCTGAATCGGAGAGCACCAGGACCCACAGGTCACCGCCAGCGTCCATCAGTCTCCATAGCCTGTCCTTCCTAAAGCAAACCTGGAGCTGTGATCTTTTGTTGCTGAGAGGCCAATAAGCACACAGCAGTGCCCTGATTGTATCCCTGAAGCTCGGCATATGTTTCAGAATTCTGGGCTGGTTTTCAAAGTCGGTGAAAATTTGTTTGTATGAACCATGCAGTGTTTCTTTCTACGGTATGTTCTCATATGACATGTCTGACATGCAGCCGTACAATAACTCTTTTCAGCCACTGTTGATTTGACCAGAAGTATGATATAAATACAAGCTTAAACATATATGACTAGTCAAAAAGAAACTAGAGAAATTCACAGAGCCTTCAAGTGTGCTTCCTTATTGTTGTAAGTCAGGCCTTCACTGCAATGTCAGTAGATGAAGGTCTTTTCTGGACCTCACAGACATGTATTTGTTCATTGTCTGTGGTGTATTGTCATGGCAACTCGGTAATGCCATGAGTGATGTAGCAGTATGTGACAGCATGGTGAAAGTTAAGAGCAACATTGTAACTGCACTAGTGTTTTTTGTTTCTGCCATGAAATTATGCTGTGACATTAAATGTATGCAATGCCCACGTTTACTGGATTACATCGAGCGCAGGATTAAATTAAATATATGCTAGATACAATGGTGAGCAGCTATGCAGTGTTCAGTCAGGCCATGCTATGCTGCACTTGATGGATATGGTGATGATTATTGTTGGAATATTTAACAAGCCTAATTATCACCTCATTATCAATCAGGAGAGCATGAGTGGTTGAGGCAGCGTTCTCCAGGGTCCGCGGAGAACATATAAATTCTGCTAAACTACAAGACCTTTTTCTTTGTTTATATGATCCTTGCAAGGGTAAGTGTGTGTTTCTGTGCTGCCAGTAAATGGACAATGCTCCACTTCAGAGCGCTGTTGTTCTGAAGCACTGCCTGAAAACAAGATTATTCTGTAGGTCTGAATCCTGCAGGCTGTGTCGTTTCATGTTTGTTACTCTCAAAGTCTGGTGGAGCTCAGCTGGGGATGAAAACCACAACATTCCGGTATTTGCTCATGAGCTACCAGTACTTGTCATTCTTTGGGATACTTTTATATGTTATAAGCGCTCAACAGCTTTAAGCAGCTTAAGTGTTTCCAAATGAACCAAGATAACTGTTTCAAATTTCACTATACAACGTGATCTTATCTATCACTATAGACAGTGTTAGACAGATATCCAAAGAGCTCTTTAATCTGAAACACGTCAGGACAGTAGGACAAATAATATATTACCCTAGACAAAAATGAGGTGATGCTGCACAGTCCTACTCAGGTCCACTCAGAATTTCACCACTGCCGCTCTTCTGGAAGCTGTAAGGCGGCCAGTCAGGTTTCAGTCCGCGAGCCCACGGAGACAGTGTGATGGATTGCTCACCGCAGCGTTAAGGCATCATGAAGATTTGTTGCTTTCTCAGGTGTGTCTCCACGGAGCTGTAAATTGTGTGGGTATCGAGGTCTGGAGGAACAATGATGTCTATTAGGCCGTGCCCTCTGTGCAGACATCTTCATTCTCGTTCTGCTCTGTTATACCAATGCTTTCATGGGCTTCATACGCTCATGTTACGCCAGCCAATTTAGAGATGGTCTCTGGTTAAAAGGATTATGTGACACTTTTCAGATGTCACTAAATATAAACACATATTTCTAACTCTTTTAATAGGTCCAGTTTTCAAAGTTCAATATGCTAAGTGGTGTGCTCTGTGTTCCCAGCTACTATATCGATGGACGTGTGCTGAAAGTCGACGACTTCCTGAAGACGCGTTTGTTGGACACACTGAGCGAGCAGATCGGAAAGGTGCTGAAGGTGAGGCAGCCCCGCTGCCTGCGCAGACGGGCACGATGACGAGAGGAAGCTGTCTGAGGAGGGCGCTCTTTGACGCCACCGCATCCCAAACCTCACGTATACAATGTGAACACAAACTTCCTCTCAAGAAGATGGATGGATTTTATTTTTATTACTGCTGGCCCCAAGCACCAGAGGTGTTTGGCAGCCTTGTGTAATTACAGCTGTGTGTCCGGGGCGTGGAGGTAATAAAGCTTGTCTTGCCCTCATTAGCTCTCCTGCCCCATTATTCCTGCCCTGGGGGTTGCTGGGAAACGCCCTGTCAGAAGCCCTTAACAAGCGTGCGTAGCTGAGCGATGTGCTTTGAGGGTGGAGAGCAGGATCTGTTATGTGACGCTGGAGCATGGAGGGGCTTTACAAGGCAGTCTGTCGCCAGGTTTGAGCCCCCCCCTCCACCCCAGTAAGCAGTGTGCCCCGCTAATGAGCAGTCACACTGTTTTGTCATAGGGCTCTCTGTCACACTTATACAACCGCATGACTTGCAGAAACAGGCTGAGCCATTGCTGTTGGCCTTCCCCTGAGACCGAGCGGCCAATGCTGGCCTGGGTGCATCGGTGGGCGTGTCACTCCACTAGCGGCGACAGTGACGCCATCACATCGCCACCACTTCGGGCTTCCCCCTGTTCTCTGGAGATACACGTTGGTGTTCTCCATTGCTGATGGTGTTTCCTCGTGTCTGACGGCGGCCGTTCAGTCAAGCATCATTATCATCCTCAATGCCTTCCTGACTTTCCTGTCCTGCGGTTCATTCTCTCGTCTCTCTGCAGGTCGTGAAGACGCACGCTCCCAGTAAGAAGGTGTGGCTGGGCGGAGTCGGCCCCGCCTGGACATTGGGCACCAGCAACCTGTCTGACACGTACGCTGCTGGCTTCCTGTGAGTACTGCTCCCCATACACTGCTCTCGCTGCTCCAGTTCACTGATAGACAAGCCAGAGCCCTCAGCCAGTTCCACTTACTCTCACATGACATGAATTACAGAATCCATTTTTTCACCATTTTACTGTGTGTGTTTCAGACTGTTTTTTCCTTTCCTGTGTTCAGATGGCTGAATACTCTAGGCATGTCTGCGGTGCAGGGCATCGATGTTGTGCTTCGGCACTCCTTCTTTGACTATGGTTATAACCACCTCGTCGACCAGCACTTCAATCCTCTGCCTGTGAGTTGCAACCCCAGAATCTAGCAGCTGGGACCCTAGTCTTACTGTTCTCTCTCTGCTTGCATTGCTTTCTTTGTACCTTGTGTTCACTGTGCTCAATGTGATCTCTGTGTTCCCTGTGCTGTCTATGTTCCCAGTGTTCACTGGGCTCTCTATGTTCTCTGTGTTCACTGTGCTTCCTGTATTCATTGTGCTCTCTGTGTTCCCTTTGTTCATCGTGCTCTTTGTGTTCACTATGTTCTCTGTGTTCACTGAGTTCACTGTGCTCTCTGTGCCCACCGCTCAAAGTGGTGAAGGATATTCTTCTGAGCTCCAGCTCACGCCGGCCGCTGTTTCTGCAGCCCGCAGTGCTGCCACCTCTGAGTTTTTCCCGTGGGAGCTATTAGCTCAGATGAAAGCCGTTTAAGCGTGTTGAATGGTGCAGGAAACATTAGCCCCAGGTCTGTAGTCCCGGGTAAGCGACCCTCTCCCTGAACAGCAAGCCGCTGAGAGATATGCAACCTTATCCTCTGGTCTGCCGAGGCTGTAGCCACAGGCCTGCAAGGGGTTGGCACCTTCCAGCATCGACCTTAACAAGGCCTTGGCTTCCAGGACCAGTACTGACCCCATCCCAGGTCCTGGGAAGGCATTTTATGTGTGCTGGCATAGGGAGCTCTTGAGCTGTGCTTTGGCCACATCTTCGATCACTTTGTCTGTGTACTGTCAAGGCCTTTATTTGGTTCTTCTTTATTGTTTGTTTTCTGATTGTAATTTTGTAAAAAGAGACATGAGTGTGGGGAAGTTTTTAATGTCTGCACCTTAGTGCTGAGCATTTTAGTATTTGCTGAAGGCAATGCATTCACTTTTTGGGCATTGCAGGTGTGAATAGGGGGTTTGCTTTACTAAGAGCTCTTTGGTAATGTGGTGGAACCATGCCGGTGAGTGATTTGTATAACACCATATAACTGTGTCATCAAAACAAGATGTGAGGTACGTCTTATTTGAACATCAGCATGCTTTCATTTTTAAACGAAAAATGAGAGTAAAAAATCCAAAGGGTCAAATAAAAGGGATTATACAACCATTTGTATATTATCCAAACTGGAGTAAGAAAATCACTTGCGGTTTTTACATGGTTTTGTGTGCATGAGAAATTTTTGAAATAGCTGCAGGCTGCTGAATGGTGTCAAATAATTTGCAGACAGCCCAGAGCAGACATGGTTAGTATTTCCGTTCTGTCCTGATTGGAACATGCTTACGTGTTCCAGACATTTCAAAATGTTGTATAATCGATATATTTTAAAGGCATCATTTTCCTCCTCCTGTTCAGTTATTTTCTGGAGTTCTTTTCTAGGAAAAATCGCCCCCTACTGGGATCACAATGCTTTTAACATGGTTGGGCGTCTCTGCAAACTGCCAGGCATCCCACTGAGAGAATTCGCAACAGCCCCAACCTGTCAGACTGCAAGGAAATTTATACCCCAGCCTCTTTTCTTTAATCCTGCACCCAGAACGGCCACTGGACCCATCGAGCCCCCGTTTCCCCTTCGTCTGCCATTTTCATTTCTTCCTTCTCTACCTCCCGCGTTCCTCCCCCATGGGTCGTACTCTCCTTTCTATCCTTATGAGCCGGTCTGCGAGGGGCTCCGAGAAATCTGTGTAGGTCCCCTGTCTGGTACACATGCTGTTGTTCAAACTCAAACAGGCCTCTGGGTTAAGCGTGAACTAGGAGCAGTTTCCCTTTAAAGCCTAACAGGTTCTGTTCCCTCATCGAAAACATGCGTTTAGTGTCTTTTGTGGGTAATCTTGTGTTAAAGGATAGTTCAGGAACTGTTTATTCTGTGGAATTGGCAAACGGAAAGTACCCTGCCTGAAATTACGCAATGCTGCGTTTATGGAAAACGACAGAGATAAACAATCCAACACCAGCCTAGACTACAAACTGCATCGTTGTAAGGTAAAGAAACTCTGCATGCCCAGGTGCTATGGTGGTAGGGGAGTCCTTGGGCAAGAGCAGGCTGCTGTGCGTCGCAGCACAATGTGTACAGGATGCCAGAGAATAACAGGGTTTGTATTAAAAGACACATGATACTGGTGAGGTTTCAGCAGCGGCCACATTGTTTTGCACATACATGCATGCAGAGTGTCACTTTCGCCACTGATGTCAGGATGCGTCATATGGGCAGTGTGGAATTTACTCTGCTGCATCGTTTACTTGTCGAGTTGTGGTCACTTGTCAGGAGGGTTGTATTTAAGCAAGAAAATCTGGGACTATTAATTTACTTTTGTAAGTCTAAGATTTACAATACAGATGATTAGTGCCGTATACCTCAGAAAACAGTAGAACATTTTTTAATAATCTGTACTGTGCCAAATACATTGAAAAGGGGGACCTGGTAAAGGGAAAAGTGACAATAGTTTTACACTTGCTGGCTTCTTTGGTGTGCTGCCTTTTTACCAAGAAGTTATCCAGCTGTTCCTGAAAAACTGAGCCTTACATGTCCCTATACCTTAGGCGAAAGCAAAGATAGTCTTCACTACATATAATGTAAGTGAATCAACTCAGATCAGTAAAAGTTTCCATGTCAGCACTGATGACGCCTTTAAAATGCTCCTTCTGCTTGTATTATAAACAGATGTAAAACTGCAGGCAAAGCTTTTCAAGTTATGCGTTTTATTTGATGTTTTCTAAGATAAACAAATGCCACAGACTGTTATACGGTTACATCGCCAATCTGTGAAATCACACTCCGTTTGTCTTATTTTGGCATTCTTGCCCAGCTCTGCGTGTTGCGGATCGCACCTCATCTTTTACTGGGAAGCTCCAGAAATGCCGCTTATGGGTCGCTCCTCTTCCCAGTACGCTTTAAATCTCTGACCCGTGCACGCGTCACCGGAGGTCTGATTCCCCCGGAAGAGGATGAAGCTGCAGATTTACCCCATTTCTGCCTCGACGGTCACGCTTCAGCACGCGTCACATGGCACTTTCCCGTCTTCTTCGCTGCGATGTTTATGGCTGTGTAAATATTTACAGCACATTCTCACATTACTTTCACACATGCCCCGAGTTAGACGGGCCTGTGCATTGTTAACCTATCTTTAACACAGCCTAATTTTTCACCATACACTTTGATCTGCGAGAGCAGGCCAGTTAACGGCTTCTGTGGCAATGTTTCTCTCCCATCCAAAGCGCTTGGTTCACATGATGAAACCAGGAGTTGGGTTTCCCGTTTTGGGCTGCGCTGCCTCCTTTTGGTGGGACAATGAGTTGAAAGGAAGGGCCAAGAGTTTTCTGTCTTTTCTTAGCTAACAAATGGAAAAGGCAACCTGACGAGGTCTCTGCATCACATCACGCACAGGTGGGTTATTGCATAGCTGCACAGGACTTTCTTGGTGTCACCAGTGAGCATCGATGAAGCCATATTACAGCTAAGGAGCTTTGCCACTGCTTTAGCGGCACAGCCGAACCACACAGCTTGAACAGCCCCATATAGTAGGAGGCTGTACCTTAATTGCTGGGTGTGGACTCAGTCTCTCCTCGAGGCACCTGCTGTCGTGGTCTCCCAGAGCTTTCCCGTTTATGTTTGAAGTGCTGGGGGCTTGGAACAGGCCAAGGCACATCTGGAAGCTGTGTTTTCCAGATGCCATCAAACATGTATGCCGACATTATTGCAGGTATCTTAGAGTATTTTCCCCCCTAAGAGCCAGTAGTCACATGGTAACTTACTGCCAGCTAGGAGATTTGACACAGATACACCTCTAAGAAGGTAGCGGTAATCACAGCATTCTGTTTTCTGCAGTACGTTAGAATCTTACAGATCAGTGCTGAAGACTTTATACTGTATTATTGGCATTTTGGCAGCATAGTTCTGTTCTAGGACAGCATATCTCTGGAATAATTCTTCACAAAGCAACTTCCTTCATAGATACGGCACAGGGTTGTATAGGAGCTATGTAAACAGAGCATAAGTAGTATATAAGCAGTATGCAAGCAATGTGTAAGCAGTACGTAAATAGTACGCAGGTGGGGTGTAACCAGTAAGTAAATAGTGCACAAGCAGTATGTAAGAAGTGTGTAAGCAGTGCATATGAAGTATGAGCAGTATGTAAGCAGTGTGTAAACAGTATGTAAGAAGTGCATAAGCAGTGTGTAAGCAGTAGGTAATCAGTGCATAAGCAGTATGTAAGCAGTGCATAACCAGTGCATAAGCAGTATGTAAGCAGTGCATAACCAGTGCATAAGCAGTGTGCAAGCAGTATGTAAGTGATGCTTAAGCAGTATGTAAGCAGTGTAAGAAGTATGCAAGCAGTGTGTAACCAGTGTAAGCAGTATGTAAGTACTGCATACCTATTTTTTGCTTGATCATAAACTTTGTCAAGATTTGAGTACTGCCTCAAGAAGCGAGGCTTCGCAGCGAGGTAGGGCTAGTGCCGACTCCCCTGTGCTGTTTTTAAGACATCTCTCAGCCTTCTACACCATGATTCAGATAATCAAGGGCTTAATCAGAAGCTGTGCAGGTGATATAGATCAAACATGTATGAAATAGTGTAGGTGGACCGCCACATAAATTGTCTGCAAAAGAAACTTTTATGCAACAGAACATGTTTCCTTTTATAACCACGCTGGGAATGATAGATGTTGTGTTTACTGGTTTTCGTCATGATGTTTACATGCTAACCTTTTTGTCATAGTTTCCATTTTTCGCAGCAGTCGGTCCTCTCTGCGTCTCGCTGCTTCCCCCACTTTTGATTTATGCTCCCCAGCATCAGGAGCCAACAAGCCCCGGGTTCGGACGTAGACACTCGGCTCGTCTCTGATTGGGCAGTGGCCTTTAGAACGCGCAGCCAGGCTCGCCTGTGGAATGTCACCTGGGCCGAGGGGGTCTCCTGGCTGCGCAGCCCACGGTGAAGCTCGCCGACACAAAGGGCCATTTCCTGTAGCCATGGCCTGCTGTTAGGACGCCGTGTGCTCGTGTCTGGAATCCCAGCAGCTGTGCGATCCATCACGGCTCCGCGGGAGCTCATGGCTGCCTCCGTCGGTGTCTCCCTGCGCTCTCCTAACTTCACCAGCACAAACAGGGCAGCTGATTCATGGCTCTCCCCCAGTAGTGCAGCCTGGAGCTCGCCAGAATGTTTATCTTTTTTATTATATAGCTGTAGTTTTATTTATCCAGAGTCTTTATAGCACAGTTCACAATGGCTGCTCTGTGAAAGTGTGTTAATTTAACTCATTGGTGTTACATGTTCAGGTTGTTTACATGACCTCTTTTTGTTGAGGGGTGAACCCTATTGTTACTGTGGCCCTCAGTCAGCAGCCCAGAGCTTCCATGCTCTCCTTTTGCAGTACAGTTTAATCCAAGAAAGTGTCTCCTTCAATAATAGACTTGAGGAGCCCATGGGATTTGCGTTGGAAAAAGACTAAACATCCCCCTCCGTGCTGGAGTGAGCGGTGGCAGCATGTCATGTGCGGTACCAGCGCTGCCTCTGCAGTGTCCTGCCCTTTTAGTCTTGCAGAAAATGCACTATTATGACTGCCTGTATAGCACACAGCTGTGATTAAATAAACTGTGCTGCATCTTGGGCCAAGAGCTCAACATGTGGCTGTATTGCAGCACGTCATGATCGGGAGTCATTCATCGGCAAGCCTGTGGGCACACCTGCAAGGCACCCAGCCAGTGGGGCTCCAGGGAGAGGGACCCTGGCGAGAGGGGGTCCCAGTGAGGAGGTCCCCGGGGAGATGGACTCTAGTCAGTGGGGTCTCAGAGAGGGGGTCCCCAGGGAGAGGGACCCTGGCGAGAGGGGTCCCAGTGAGGGGGTCCCCAGGGAGAGGGACCCTGGCGAGAGGGGTCTCAGAGAGGGGGTCCCCAGGGAGAGGGACTCTAGTCAGTGGGGTCTCAGAGAGGGGGTCCCCAGGGAGAGGGACCCGGGCGAGAGGAGTGCCAGTGAGGGGATACCCAGGGAGAGGGACTCTAGTCAGTGGGGTCTCAGAGAGGGGGTCCCCAGGGAGAGGGACTCTAGTCAGTGGGGTCTCAGAGAGGGTGTCCCCAGGGAGAGGGACCCTGGCGAGAGGGGTCCCAGTGAGGGGGTCCCCGGGGAGATGGACCCTGGCGAGAGGGGGTCCCAGTGAGGGGGTCCCTAGGGAGAGGGACCCTGGTGAGAGGGGGTCCCCAGGGAGGAATCCCCGGGGAGATGGACTCTAGTGAGTGGGGTCTCAGAGAGGGGGTCCCCTGGGAGAGGGACCCTGGCGAGAGGGGTCCCAGGGAGGGGGGGTTCCGGGGAGAGAGATCCTGGCGAGAGGGGTCTTAGAGAGGGGGTCCCCAGGGAGATGCACTGTGGTAATAGAGGGGTCCCAATGAGGGGGACCCAGAGAAAGGGACCCTGGGGAAAGGGGTCCCAGTGAGGGGGGGTTCCGGGGAGAGAGATCCTGGCGAGGGGGTCACCAGGGAGAGGGTGCCTAGTGATATGGGGTCCCACAGAGAAGGTCCCTGGCTTAGAAGCGTCACAATGAGGTGGCCCCCAGGGAGAGAGTCCCTAGTTAGAGGTTCTTCTGGGAGTGGCTCATACAGGCTCTACCTGACTCTAGCTCATGTGGTTGTGTCTCTGTGCTACTGCAGGACTATTGGCTGTCCCTGGTTTTCAAGCGGCTGGTGGGTCCCAGGGTGTTGGCGGTGCATGTGGCTGGGCTGCAGAGGAAACCCCGTCCGGGCCGGGTGATCCGGGACAAGCTGCGCATCTACGCACACTGCACTAGCTTTAACAAGTGAGTACCGAGTCCCACACTCAGGCCGGGCCTGTGGAGAGGAGCAGTGCTGCTTCTGCCCAAGCCTTAATGGAGCGAGCTTGGTTAGTCAGACAAGACGTACACATATGCCCTTCACACGCACATGATGGAGCTCACTGCTGTCAGCCTCTTCGATCAGGAGTCAAGGATTACGCATCATTCTTTGAAGAGCTTTGAGACCTTACATGAGGAGCATGTTCCCCTCACAAGGTAGTGTGGGGTCAGAGTTATGCACACAAAAATAGGCACCCCCTGAAGGCTTTCAGACACCTGAGACTGTACCCAGAGTGGTGCAGCTTAAATGTGTACGGCCCCGTCTACCCATAGTAAAGACACATAAATAACAGGCTTCAGACACCCCGACTTTCAAAGTATGCACCCATAAAAGTTAGTATCAATGATCAAGCATGCTGGATCTTTTTCTTATGTGAAAGAGGCGCTGAGAAGTGGCTGAAGCCTTCATCTGGACCGCAGGGGACACAATGGGCCAGTCTGTCCCCAGGGCAGATACAAAGTGCCACTGTCCCCTTTGAAGGTTATCACTGGGCTGCAGCCCTGTCAGCACCAGAGTAGGCTTACTGCCTGCTCCCCGCCTCCAGTCAGTTATCCATTACAGGTGGGGCTGCCCCCTTGCCCAAGCCCAGCCTAACAGTTACGTTACCCGAGCAGGGATATGGCTAATTGTTATCCTCACCAGCACAGTTCAAATTTTTGCTCTTATGCAAACAGAAGGCATCCTTATATTATGTCAACATGTCAGAGCTTCACAGAGAGTGACAGTTGGCAGAAACCGTGCCCTGATGGTATGTTCTCTGTGGGTCAGAGAGAGACTCGGGGATAATGAGTAAAGTCTGGTGCAAGGTAGGTAAGGGAAAGCAGACGCGAGGGAAAAGCCAGCAAGCCTTCGCCAGGAGCAGGCAGAGCAGGGACACCCTCGGGGTCCATTAGCCCCCCAAGTTCAGACAGGAAGAGACAGACTCCCTCTGTCTGAGTTCCCTGGCTGTCCCCAGTTGAAACGCACAGCCTTTTTTAGTACTCGGGGCTTTTTATTCCTGTCCTCCTCCATAATTTCTTCCGCTTCGTTTTCAAAGCGACTCACCGTCATGCATTTTCTGCACCCTAACGCGGCATCGTCTAGCTCGAGGTCCCCCACTGTTTGATCTGTTTAGCATCAGTTTGCCGCTCTGCATCTGAGCGGCTGCCCCCGATAGGTACTGCCTCTCTGTTTGCACAACCGTGGCTCATTCTTTAAAACGGCAGCCTTTGCTTTCATCTGATTTTCACAGTGCCCCATGAAAGTTTTTTTATGTTGCGGCACAAAGACGTGAATCAGGCAGCACTGGAGTGAGAGGTCACTGTGCTGACGGAGCCAAGCTGTGTCCTTATTGACTGGGCCACGGCAACATGTGGTACTCACTACATCTATGTTATTCTTTGCCTGGCATTAGAGGCGCTCTTGGATGTTATCGTGTTTTCCTTTTCCTACATATTAATCTTTATCTAATAGGGCTGCAGTGCTCAACCCACTGCCCCTAGATCAAGGCTCAGTCAGAGCCGCCCGCTTAAAGCTGCGGATGACCCATGCACAGCCACAAGGCGGGCCTCTGTCAGTAGCACAGAGTGCAGGCAGTCCCTGGGTTAGGAACGTCCAACTTACAGACAACTCATGCTTAACAACGGACTGCCAAAAAAGCCTATTATTTGAAAAATCTGGGTTGAGCACAATGGTTTTCATAAGAAACGCACACACAACTTTGTGATGCTCCAGAAAACATTGCACAGCTTCAGCAGTTTGTTGGCTCAGCATACAGGTCAGTAACGTATGTAGTTTTATTATTTCTGTATAATATTATTATTATGTACTGTATTATTATTTTTCTGACTTACCTCCAAATTCGATTTAAAGATAGATTTAGGGAATGGAACTCATTCATACTCTGGGGACTGCTTGTAATACGTTAGGAAAGAACATGATCTTTCTGTAAATCTGACAACTTTGCAGGTATAAATATGAAATATTGTCCTTTTCACTATGCACAATGTGTCTATATTTGGTGAATTTGCGTGTCAGATTGTCCTCTTTTGGTGAAATATAGCATTTTGCAAAGTCTGACTTTGATCAAATGATTCCAGCGGAACCTGGACTATGTCACTGCCTGTCTTTTTGCCAAACGTGCACATACATGATGCATTTGTTTATTATTAACAGATGCTATTTCTCCCTGTTTTACCTTCCAGTCACAATTACATGCGGGGCTCTATAACCATCTACATCATTAACCTGCACCGATCGCGGAAGAAAATCAAGCTGGCGGGGACCTTGCGTAACAGGACCGTTCACCAGTACCTGCTGCAGCCCATGGGCCCGGAGGGCCTCCACTCCAGGTGAGCGCAGTCTGGCCTGGCCTGGCCTGGCCATTGCAGACCGAAGACACTGTAGCTATGGGCTCACAATACTCACACTGCATTGCCAAAAGGGGGCGCTGTTCAGGAAGCAGTTCTTTCTTTACACTAATGCTGAGATCGGAAGTTGGAGCAGGGAATGACATCACACTCAAGTTAACCACAGGCCAGTACAATAAGCTGGGAAGCCAGTTAGTAATACCACTTTAACTTTATATATAGATATGTATATAGACGCAATGCATTACGTGGTATTTTGTACATACAATCACCATAGCAACATGCCCACAGAAAGAGATTGGAGAGTACTGTGTGTACAACCAATTTAATGAAACACAAATAGGACAGTATATAACTACAGCTTTCACTTCTGTTGGGGTTGTAGAGGTTCCTCTGACTTTCCAGGTCAGAACTCCAACTTCAGGAGGCATTCCAGTTAAAACTTCCGATTAGGAAGTTGGAAATTCCGACTTCTGAGTTCAAATGCAACGCACCAGAATGCCATGCTATAGACTATATATAATTTATATATAAAGTTAACTAATGCCTAAAAAGATTCTGTTTGGTGAATTTAGCCTTATTCGCAGAATGAAAGGTCTTTATTTTTTTCCCAATGTAAAGGAGGGGGTATTACCTGGAAGAGAAGGCCATCATACCCTCAGCAGACAGGGAGACAATTCCAGACACAAAGAGCTGATTTTATAGCCAAGGTCTTCCCTTGTTTTTTGAAAAAATATCCAAGCCTGCCACTAATGGGGTATCCTATTTCACACACGTTGACCTAACAATGAGCACTGAAACTATACAAGAGGAGGGGGACCCAGGTTACAATAACATGGCGGAAAGCCGTGGGTTCCTTGTAATGCAAACATAAACACGATTATATTTTGGGATTGTCAGACAAAAAGCCAAAATACAGATAAAGTAAACAGACAGAATCCTATGAGTAAATGGTACTGTCCAAGGTCAAGTCAACCTTTAGGGTTTACCATTAGCTTGTTCCTCAAATTCCTCCGGCCTTGGGGAGTGGGGGGGGGGACAGCCTGGGGGAGCCGGGAAGACGACGGTGAAGGTGGAGCCCGTGGCTGACGTGTGAGGAGTTCTGATGACACCCGGACTCGACTCTTACTTTGGGTCCTGTGCTGTTGCATTGTCCTGGAAAAACGCAACACCTGCGCCGGGCAAAATACAGCAGTCAGATTTGGAATGGCGCTTAAATCAAAAACATTACAAGAGCGTGGTGCTCCGGTTCATGTTCCCGTGTCCACGGCTCCGCACTGCAATTCCCAACATTGTCTACATGCCTGGGTGTAAATTATGGGGGGTGCATCGGTGTAAATTATAGCCCCCCCCCCCCAATAATCAAAACCAGCCAATATAACCCCTTGGACCCCCTTAAATGGATGGAGACCTCCACCCTCCCCCCCCTCCAATGCTCAACACAAAGTTATGCCCTTGTCAACATATCAGCTAGCCACACCATTTAGACTCTCGGCTTATTGTTTCGGTTTAGCTGTAAGACCTAGATAACATTGCAAACATGTTGGATGTTTGAGGTGTTGAAGGTGAACCCAAGGATACGGAATGCAGATGCTGTCTCAGTGCATGAAAGCTTACATATATAACTTACCAGTGCCAGATGTTAATCAATATAAACACACATGATACCCCTGGCTGAATACTTATGGCAGATTGACTCAACACCTGCGTATTTTATAAGTCCCTGTATGTTCCTTTCTCCTCAGAGTCTTGTATCTGGACCCTTAAATTTAATGTAATCCAACTCACCATCAGGTGCAGAAATGTATAGTTTGAGAATGCTTTATTATGTAGTAAAATGTTCTTTCTTTCTGAGCCAGCCCTCTACACGTGTTGAGTTTACATGCTAGCCTCGTGTTCCCACTGGCTAATCTGTACTAGCAGTTTGACACCCCTGAATTGCCCTTGGTGTGATGGACTGGCATCCTATCCACTCTTCCCCTGCCTCCAGACTCCCCATGAGTCAGTCCTAGATAAGTGGTGTTGGAAGGTGCTGGGATGGTTCATGGTTGATTAACATTTTTTGCTAAATGTTATCAGCAATTTCTGCATAAAACATCCATCTGTCCATCTCCCAACCACATGTCTTTAGCAAGACCTGCGCAATGCATGACAAGTTTTTGCATGTTATTTTACATCAGAATTAATTAATTTAAGCTAGTAAATCATCATTGCAAGCGTTAGCCACCATGTCTGCACTACTGAAATATTTGAGTGGATTTGCCTTGACATTCACAGTAAAGTCTGTGAAAAGAAGAATGCATTCAAGTTAGCAATCCACATGACTGTTAGTTATCGTTGTCAATTGTGGAACTAGGTGCGAGTGGATCTTGCCGTGATCTGAGTTTTCAGACATGCTGAATTAGTGTGTGTTGAAATGTTTTGTTTCCCTTGTTGAATCAGAGCATCAGGTTAACTCAGTAACATATACAGAATGACGATACCGTTACTTCATACCTTCCATTGCTCAAAATCTCCAAACCAAAACATATGTGTCAGGAAATGAAATGTTGATTTGTGTAAGGTCACACCAACTGTTCATTTGGTGTAATCCATATACATTACAGGCAGTCCCAATTTACATATTACTGCACAGATCCTTCTCACTATGCTCATAATGTTTTCATAGAGAGTATATACTGAGGGGCAACTACGTAGAAAACACTGTTTGACCAGTTCTTCTTGAAATCATGGAAAGTATACACTTAATGTAGCCTTAATAATGCATTGAGTGATAGAGATAATAATAGCAGATAAGACCAGCTAAAAAAAGTAATTCACATATGCTTGCTTTCTTAAGTTTGACTGCATATAAGTCACTTTTACATGCCACCAGTGGCATTGTCAGGATCTTAAGGCATCAGGGGCTTAGCCCAGAGAGCTAATCTGTCCAAGGTACCTCATATTGCATTTTCTTTCTCTGAAGTTACAATTATTGTAGCACTATGGAGGTATTGGGAAACGAAGCCCTGCACTATGGAATTCTCACACTGAGACCATGGCTGTTAAAACATCTGAACCAAACATATAATCGCAGCTTGTTCGGCTTCATTTGGGGCTTCAGCCACCAGTGCCCCAGGCACGTGACACTTCTATGTGCTGCAATTTCATCCAGAAACGCCAGAACAACTCTGATGGCTTGATTAATTCTGGGCAAACTGGATGATTGATGTGTGTTGGTCCTCGGCGATTAGTCTGCTGTACTCCCTCCAGGGCATCATTCCACAGCTAAATCTCAGCGATTAACAAGCCGTGGCTCCCAGATGGCACCACATACTGACCGCACCATGGTGCCCCTGCTGAATGGGCAGTGAAACAGTGCCAAATTAAAGTGAGATGATGTCCCATTGAGTTGAAGGTAGTATTTCATGTCATTTCTGTCATCGTGGCAGAGAGGCTGTTTCCTGAGTACTCAGATGGCATGCGGGTACTCAGATGGCATGCGGGTACTCAGACGGCATGCGGGTACTCAGACGGCATGCGTGAACCATCCTGTGTTTCCTTCGCAGGCTTGCTTGAGCTCCCAGGAACAGACCCATAGCCAGCTGTGACCTCTCTGCCTGGTCACTACACAAAACCTTTTCTGTATCATATCAAAAGCAGCTGAAAGGAAATCACTGGCGGTTTTACAAACTGCAGGCCCCCTTCCTACAACCAAATTAAATCAACAAATTAACATTACATTTTACTTAAAATATTTATGTGTTTTTACCAGATAAAAAAGCAATTACTTCAAATGTTCCATTGCTTAAAACTTCCACATCATAACATCGAAGACTCTTAGATGTTAGCTTATATTTACCCATTTTACCATTTGGATATGGGTCCAGTTTCTTGACCACTACACACATGTTGTAAGGATTTAAATGTAGAATTTTGTCAATAAACATTTCAAATGCATGAAGTTTCAGTAAAAATGCCCCAAAAAGACTCAAGTCCATTACAGTCTTAGCTCTGTTTAATATGTACATAGAGAATTTTAAGTCGCTACTTTTGGCATAACATGAAGCTCTTTACATCTTGAAAAGATTTTCAGTTAAAAGTTATATAAACAGAAACCTTTGTCTTGGTGAGAACTAAAAAAGATCAAGTTCAACAAAAAGATGTCTTTGAGGACTGTAATGTTCTGATGCTGTACAGGAGGGATGAAAACGTTTTAGGTGAGTAAGAAACTTACACCCAAGCTGTCATAAACCAGAAGACAGCCAATCAGAGGCAGGCTCATGGGATCGTCACCGTGTGGCAAACCAAGGACACATGCTGTTGGCCTACTGCGAACTAGCATTATGTTTTGTCTCTCGCTTGTCTGTCTCAGAAGTGTGTACATGCTGGGCAGACTCCTCTGAGACTACAAGAGCCCGTCCAGAGTGACCGCCTTCTTATACAAACACTAACACGGCTCCTCTATTGAGGTCTTCACAGCTGTTTTAGCACCCCCTACAGGCTGTGAACACTGAAAGCATATAGTTCATGCTGTGTGTTTATGAACACAAGAATCTTTTACAAAAGGCTTTGTACCTGTTGTTCCTGAAATGTTATACACTGGCAGTAGTTTTACATCAGTAAATTAGAGAATGTGATGTTTTTTTCTTGTTGTCGGTAATGATTAAAATCTGCACGTTTGACAGTAAGAGAAACGCTCAAGATGCAAAACAGTTTCGTTTCCAACACTCCACTGTTGATCTGTAGGTTTCCTTGTCAGGTCCCCCCGCACTCACACACATACCCACATCTGTAAGCATTGCCGTTCCAGCGCAGACATATGGAACCATTAGGGGAGTTTAATTTAATTTCCATCATATTTAAAGGAAATGCAAACTCCTCTCTCTGTGCGCGGCACCATGCACAGTGTGCTTACATACCTCCTTCATCGCTTTGAACTCGCAAGCATAAATCCTAGCAGAAAAAGGCTGTTAGGAAGATCAACAAACGGCCTTGCCGTTGCTTTAGAGCCATGCCATGTCACACCATCGCAGCGTATCACAGTGCACTTCAGGAGAATTCCGGGCCACAAGAAGAGACCGGCAGCATGCTCTGATCTTTTCAGCCTGGAGGTCCCAGGTAGGACTGGGCTGTTGTATCCATCATACAGCCAATAAAGTCAGAAGATAGAGGTAGGATGCACACGCAAGTCAGAGAGGGAGCCTACTATTACAACAAAAGGTGCTATTTCAAGGACAGTTTTATTACTAATCTGTCTGAAGCCTTCACACTGTCTCTAAAGCGGATTTATTCTGATCTGGTTGACTAGTCTGTGAATATGAAGACATGCACTGGAAAAAATGGCAAGGCACTCAAGTATTCCACATTCTGCGGCCTGCTTTCATCAAGGGCACTTGCAGAAAGATGCACACAGCAGCGCGCCTGGAGGAAGCCCAGCGAGCAGCTGCAGCGCTCTCTGCTCCTGCGAGCGCTGGTGATCCTCCAAGGGCTGGTGTGCATGAGAGGGGAAGCTTTCATAGCCAAAACCCACATGTTTCATGAGGTATCTTCTGATTACACCATTCTTTACTAGCAATATGAAAACAACTTGCAACAAACTTTACTTTCTCAAACAGTATATCAGTGCTCATTTAATAAACAAAAATGCTACGTGTATAAAAATAGTCAGAGATCAGCTTAACTCTGTACAGTCCAAATGAGTAGAAATTTGGCTAAAATGTAACAGTAAAATATCAGGAAAGGCCTCTGCAGTTTGGAATGCAGTGGTAGACATTAAGAACCCTCATTCTTGAGTGTAACTATGGCGCCCCCCAGTGAACAACCAACAGAGCCAAGGAGCACAGTGTTGTATTAGCAGTTGTCTGTGTGCCTGTATTGCACTGTGACTGCCAGTGATTCCTGTCAGCAGGTCCGTGCAGCTGAATGGGGAGCCCCTGGTGATGTTGGATGACGAGACTTTCCCGGAGCTGAAGCCGCAAACTCTCCGGGCAGGTCGAACAATCGCCATGCCACCCATGGCCATCGGCTTCTTTGTTATCAAGAATATCAACGCATATGCCTGCCGCAGATAGGCCACGCCCTTGGCATGGGAAGAAGCGAAGGCCTGCCCCCATGCTCATTATGGGCCACAGCGATCGCCCTTTCTTACCTTGCAGCAAGGCCTCCTCAAGGACAAATAACACGGTGTGAAAATTCTGTTACGGCATCGGGTTGTGCCTTCAGTTCAGCTGAAAATCTCCCCGTTGTTTTGGCCATTTCTTTTGCGGCAAATCTGTTGTTGTTGATGAATTCTATGGTAAATATTTCCAGTAATTTTGCAAATGTAACCATTCCAATGTGGTTCACCTTCTCCTTTCCACAGAAACAGTTAACCGCAGAATCCTGTTGTATGTCAGTTTGGCCAGTGAGAGCCGTACCATGACTGCATTTCAGTTAAAAGCTTGCTGAAGTGATTGCTGCCGTTCCAGCCGTGAGGCGTCCAGACTGTCCTGTTTCCCCGTGTCCCTCAGAGGACCTCTGCAAAGGGGAGGGAGGGGATCATCAGCCCAGGGAGCCGGCACAGGGTTTCCAGGGGAACCGGCAGCCAGTCTACCCACTGCCCCGTTTTCTCTCTTAATCCCATATAGTACATCTAGGCTTTGCCTTGGAAAAGAGCTGTCACCTTACTTTACATGTCTAATAGCTACAGTGCTGGTCGACGCTTAAAAAAAGAACACACTCTGTTTTAGGTTTCTCCTGATGGTACTTTTTATTGGCAGACTGAAGTTTTTACACAACCTCCAAGGCAGCAGTATGGTCTCAACTTGTGGCTTAGAATAGACCAGACTGAAGCCACGGAAAAAGAGGCAGGGGAAAGGCCTTTAATATGAGGTTAAATGTGACTGACAGAAAAGAAAGAAAAGAGTATAAATGCACTTAGCAACAGTGGTGTTGGCTATGTTTTGTCTTCTGAAATATGCATGAGTGGCAGAGAAAATTCCCAGACTTGCACTGAGACACCGTTGAGGGAAAGGTAGCCAGAGGTCCGGGAAGGCAGCAGGCACCGAGGTGGCAAGACACAGAAGAAACGGTATGACCCAGTTAGCGCTAAGGTACCTGACGAAGGCAGCTTCTTCCTTCACTGGGTAACATTTGCTTTTTCCCTAAATGATATGTCAGAGAGCATTGCAGGGGTCTATGTATGTATCACATCGTGGGATAAGCAAACAGGTGGAAACGGCCAGCCACCCGCAGGACCAGCGAGGAGCGGCATCAGTGCGTGGCATTCCTGGGCCTGGCTCAGTAATGGCTGTCGGCTGCAGATGGCGGGCCAGCGGTTTGCCTGGTGCTGCTAACTTTCAAGGGAAATAAGAGACTCGTTATTTACAGCTAAATATTTTTGTACAGAGTTCTAGAGCTTGTGTATCATCCTATTTGAAATATGAACTGTATATAAAAGCATGTAGATGAAAGATGTTCTTTAAATGTTTTTATTACATATATTTTAATTTAAATGAAAGTATATGTGTATGTAATTAGTATTTTATTGTTAATATTGTGGAAGAGATTAAAACAAAATGATGTTACAATGCTACAATGTAGAACCCAAATAGAAGGCTCAGTCATCATTTCAAATGTCGAATTAACTATGGAAATGCGTCATTATAAATATTTTTTATAGAGATCTTGTTGTCATCATTATAATTGGTGTCCTCAGAAGATTGCACAGGATATGCATCCCACAGCCTCCGTTGGCTAGCATGTTACATTGCTGGTAGCCCCTTCACAGGGGACGTGAGGCTACATTAATGACTGCATTGTGGCATCGCCCAAAATGTCTGACTTCTGACTGTTTTACTTGTTTATATGGAGTTGTGCATATTTTGAATGACATTATTTTATTGTGGGATTTTAAGACCAAACATTAAAATGTACACAGTAATAATAAAGTTATTCATGGGCAGTCTCTCCTTGCAAAGATTACACATTGCTGTCACCAGTGGTCAGATGCGTGACCAGCCTGCCACATGGAAGACCACTCAGTCATTGATCTGTTTATTGATAGTTTGAAAATGAATCTTTTGTTCAGCGTTGAGTTGAGTGTGTTTGATGAAAGAACTGAACTAGCTAAATGGTCCTAGTTTAAAAGGTCCCACCTTCCTCACCTGTTCAGCAGCAAACCCAGTCAGATACTGTCATTTACCGACATGAACCATTAGAGCGAGTGCACCTCCATGGGTCTGTAAAAGCGCCCAGTGGTCAGGGGAGCTGCTCAGAGCACATGTTCAGGGGTGGGAGTGCCTGGATGAAAGACCCCGAGTGCACTGTGATTTATACCTGTGCTGCCGCACAAAGAGGAGAGAAACCCAAGCCCCAGCTTTATGTCCCACCAGGTTGAGCACGGTTCGGCTGAATGGCCTTCAAAGGGCCGACGCTGGAGGGATCACAGAGGGCGGGAGTCCGTCCAGGAAGCGAGGGGCTGTGCAGGGCCCAGCAGATGTGCCTGCCAGCTGGGCGCAAGCTTTGTTGTGGCCAGCAAGAGCATTGTCTTGTCAGGGCAATGTCGTGAACTGGCCTTGATGGGAAACATTCACTGCTGGTAAGCCTGGAGCTATTCGCTTCATTCCCGGTATCTGGGCATAGTCAGGAGAGGGGAGGACAGCCAGCCCAGTCTCTGTGTCTGAATGCAGAGCAAAGTGGGCTTTAATGGCAGCAGGTCTGAGGGAATCATGGGGGTGACCGCAGAACAACACACACACGGGGTCATTCTCTTATTGTCTTGAACTGGATTTACCCGAGTCGACTTCAGAGTCCAGGAACATTTACACAGTTTACTTAGGGGTTGTGTTCCATTAAAGGAACTTGCTTTCCCTGCAGTTTTACACCAAGATTTTCAAATAATGGACAGTATGGTGTCTCCCCCATTGTGTGTGTTTCCCTTGGGCAGTCCAATGACATGTGGTTCGGGTAAGTGGCATCTCTAAATTACCTATAATGTGAGATTGTGTGTGTGAGTGCATGGCCTCTCAGACCACTGGAGGATGGATGTCTCACTGAGACAATTCGTGTTCAATATCATACACAAAAGTCTGAGTGTTTCTGTGCTTAGTACCTTTAGGCTTATGGCCCCAAGGTCAGCTACACAACTACTATATTGTTCATTCAGAGGTTGCTCATGTTGCAAAATACAGAGAATCAGCCAGTGTATGTTGTGACATATAACTGATGGATAAAACTGGAGAGTGAACCTACCTGACGTGTAAACAGTCTTCTAGATATTTCACACCATATTTCTTCTTTGATGCCACATTCTGATCTTTAGTATCTCCAATATTTTTATTAATATCAAGGCAATATTTGCACTGAGAGTAAACCCTAGTGCATCAAAGGATTCTTTCATTGGACTGGACCCATGATTCCTACAGGTTTAATGTAAATCGGCAATTAGAATTATGGTGATCCACTCATGAATGCCAATCAGTGACTCCAATGTGCTATAGTAAGCAGAATATTAGCGTTCAAGGCACTGTCCCCATATTAAATGATACTCCTGTTTCTGTTATTTCATCTGAGTGCTGTAGTTCATTGTAATTCTTTCCAGGTATAGTTAAAAAACCTACCCACATTTAGTAGTTTTGTATAGGATTTATTTCTTGATTGTCTCCCAACAACCGCTAACCCTGACTGTAATTACCCTAACCCCACCATGAACAAAACCAAGGCCCCAATCTTTACTGAAGTCAGGCAACATCAGCAGAAATAGGAATCAGGAATAATTATTGCATGCTCATGCTAACTTACTGTCACAAGTTATTTACAATTATGCTCCTTCTTACGGTACAGGAGCTCAGAAATAAGTTTCATTCTCTGTTTTCTGTCATAATTACTTTACTTTTCCCATTAAAACCAACCATGGTCTTCCTTTAGCGCAGTGGTCTGTATAAAGTCAAGGTACCTTTGCGTGACAAGTTTGCTTCAGCTATGCTAACTGTAACCAAACCTTGCGTGAAAGTGTTTATGTTCTGAGCCCATTTGGAACATACAGGCCTGTTCCACCCTTTGGCCAGGATGGAGGATTTCATGATGTTTACATAGTGTATACAGTAGTCAGCTCCAATAGGGCTTATGTGCGTGTCCCCCCTCTAAACGAGTCGAGAAAATTTGTGGATGACTAACAGTGCTGGATTCTTGCTGGCAACATAGACAATATGACCACTGCAAGGTTCAAAAAACCTAAATATTTACCCCAAGAAGAGAGAAGGTCAGCATAATGCTGTTTTCCCACTTGCGTACTGGAGTGCTGCCTTCTGAACTGACTGATTGCATTAACTATGTAATTTTAAATATCTGACTCTGGAATTTCCTTTTAACAAATTAAACAGTGGTGTTGTTGATTAGTATTTATGTGCTACCTTTCATGGTATTTGACTCTTCACATCTGTGTATCTGTTAAGTCAGCATTAATTTTAAACCTAGAATAAAAAACAGTGCGCAAACATCTAACAACGATTCTGATGTACCCTGTCCAAATAAGCCAATTGGTCGCCAATATGGCATCCAATTAAACTACCAAATATGAGTATCACTGGAAGTACTGCTGTATATCTGTATGATTAATAATGAAACACGACTTAGTTTAAGTAATTGCAACAGTAAATTCATCAAAGAGAGGACACATTACACTAAATCAGAGCGTTGTATAGCGACACACATGATGCCCCGCCCTGGCGCACACACTGACGCGTTGCATTGCACTGGCGCACAGCGGGTGACGCACAGCCTCGCACTGGCGCACAGCAGCTGACGCGCATCACCAACAGTTGACGTCACCTAGTTCCGAACTTCCTACTACATTGACTGCTATGGTTGTGTTCGTTTCTGCAATTTGTTGTGAATTAAACCGATATCTGACATTTTATTTTATGACAGTTTCAGTTTTTTATACATAAAACACTCATTATTTATATTGTTTAAATTTGGTAGTTTAAACTCAGTTTTATCTTGTTTATTCCTTTTCTTGTTTCCTTATATACCTTTTTAAAATAATCTTTCCAAAGGAAAATTCATTTTTTGAAATGCAGGATGTATCAGCTACGACGACCGAGCAAACGGATATATATTCACATAAATTAGCAAAAGCACACACGATTATTAACTAATGCAGGTGGCATGTGTAACTAACTGTGCATTTACTGCCATTCGCAAGCATAAGAGGAAATATGAACAAATGCAACAGTTACACGCAAATAATAAAAAAGACAACTACTCCCAGTTTTGTTTTTTTTGCTGTAAATAATAGTAGATATGTATCTTAATTAGTTACACCCTTCAGCCAGTAATCACAAAAATAGATTTAAAAATGTTCTACTTTTCCTCCATCAACAATTGAGGGCATTTGAATCTTATACTATTCCCGCGTCAACAGTTCAAGGCATTTGTTGATATTTTGTTCTGCCATGCTTCTGGATTCGCGGAAGCGGAAAAGCTGAGTCTTTTTACGAAGTGCTGCAGATTACAGAGGCTCTCCCGTGTCCCTTGTGAGCAGTGCCAAGAAAGGGGATCGGTCGCCTGGGCAAAAGCATCAAGGTAACAGCGCGACAGGCAGCTCAAGTGGCGTTTCCAAAAAGGGTAAGCGCCTCACTTTGTGGTCCCATCGTAACATTTTTCCTAGCTGTGCAGATGTAGTTTAATGTGCGCTTTGTAACATTTGAAAACCAGCGAGCAGTGGCACGCAGCGGTCATGGGACGAAGCATGTGAGCGAGGCGGGGATTACGAGAGATCACTTTGCTCGGATACTGTTAATCCGCGCAGAGACCCTGCTCTTACTTTGTGTATTTTCGTAAAATTGTCTTTTAAGACTAACTTTTCGAATACGATTGAAGATCGTAATCTAAGGGCAGTGACTTGTCTACAGCTTTTAGTAAAAGCGAAGCCCATGTAAACCGTGTTATTGAGGAAGTTACAAAAGTAATCCATTACAGAGAGAGCTGGATAGTTCCGGTCCCGAATTTACAAATACAGATCAAGGCTTTGTTTCAAACAGCCAACTGAATACGACTGTGACTCTTTATGCTCAACTGGTTGGTTGAAACAAAACCTTGGTCTGTATTTGTACTTTCAGGGCCTGAACTTTCCACCTCTGTCTGTAATGGATTACTTTTGTGAGTAACTTTCCCAACACTGGTCACACTCAGTATGCAGCTCTATATATGCTGAAGCTCGCTTTAATGTCTGCCTAGGGATCCCCGGGGCTTGACCTGGTCCAGAGTGAGTACCAAGGCCGGTGAACAAGGTGGTTCTGAGACAGACACTTTTTTTTCTGACGTTCTTCTCAGATGAAGTGCTTGCTGATCGCTAGTGAGAGTGCAGAAGTTCTCTTCTATTGGGCTGACCCAGACTTCCAGCAGAGCATTCGGAATCAATATGAAGGGTCCCAGGAAGAAGGAGGCAGGGTAGGAACACCAACAATCTGTTGTATCACTTATTTCTTTTAATTAATTTGGTCAGTTTTCTATCAACTGTTGTCAATACGTACTGTCATCTTCCTGCTTATCCACATTAAATAATCAGTGGACCCTAAGTTAGAGCAAAATCTGCTATTCTGGTCCACAGCCTCCAGCTTTCGAAGACAGCATCAACACTTTGTTTGCCCCCATCATCATCTCCTGTAGCACCATGATCGACAGGATGGGAGACAGCTACACCTCGTTCAGCACCGAGGATCAGCACGTCTACGTTCTCCGTCAGGTCCGTTATCTCAGCCCGCTGAGGAATCCCACTCGGTTTGGAGTTTGGAGACGGCCTCGTTTGCCAGGTCCACCCATTGCTTTTTGTTTTCCAGTTTGAAGACTGTCTGTACATTGCTGTAAATGGGGACGGTGAGGAGTCCGAGGAAGACCTGAAGAGGAAGATTTATGTGATGAAGAAACTGACGGAGGTTCACTTTGGGATGGTGACACTTAGCAGTCCCCTGCTGAGGAGAGAGTACGACATGCTTCATACATGTGGAAGCATTTAGTCGTGTTCTTGGCAGTGCTGGAAATACCTTTGACCTGTGCTCATTCGCTGTGCTTGACTCTGAAATCAAATGGGGTTTTAAAGAACTGTGGCTTAGCACTCCAGGATCTGGCTTCCTTCACTTTTTTATGTCACAGATTAAATAGACCTTTTAGTAAATCAGGTCGACCTCGTCCCTCTGATACACTGGCTGTAACAAGCTATAAATAATGGCAGCCCCTTCCTGTACCCTGATGTCTGCCTTAACTTTTTCTGTGTTCTTCTGTACAAGAAACCAAAGTTACTAATCCATTGCCTGCACCCCCAGACTCCGACCCCATGATACAGATCAAAGAAATCGCCTGTGGAGGAAGTTTCAGAGCCTCCTGGGGACCTACAGTCGGCTGCGAGAGCAGGACCAGAGCTTCCTGGTGGAGGTACAGGCTGGTGATTGAGGAAGTGCCGTCTGGGGCCTTGTAGCACCTGTGAGCTCTTTGGCTTCTGCTGGCTGCTAGTTCATTGTGTGTGTGCCTCTCTCAGGCTGTGGAGAGGCTGGTCCAGCCCACGCTTTGTGAACAGTGCATCGAGTTCCTGGAGCGTCGGCTGGTACAGACGATCAACAGCAGCGCGGAGCGAGCGGGGGAGGAAGCCCTGCACGCCTTCATCCTGGTGCACACCAAGCTTCTGGCCTTCTACTCTAGGTAACTCCCCAGCCCCTGTACCAGTCTGTGGGGGCACATTTCCAGTTATGGGCTAAAAGTCTCCATCATGCTTAATTTGCAGCCGCAGTGCCAGCCCTCTCACGTCCTCGGACCTGCTGGCCTTGATTCTGATGGTGCAGAACCAGTATCCCAGCAACAGTGACCTAGATGACATGAGCCCAGAAGTGAGCCCTAGGGTGACTGTGGCCACACGGGTATCCATGCTGGTGTACCTAGACGCTCCCTGACCCTCACTGCTCTTTTTCTAGGACATTCCGAACAGTTCAGCACCTGATGTGTTCTACACTCCAGAGCCATCCCCCACTGGCAGGCAATCTGGTAAGACCCTGTCAGTCGGTCTGTCTCTCTGCCTGTCAGCCTGCCTGCCTGTCAGACTTCCTTCCTGCCTGTCTGTCTGCCTGTCAGTCTGCCTGCCTGGCTGTCTCTAGCCTGCCTGCCTGTCAGACGTCCTTCCTCCCTGTCGGTCTCTCGCCTGCCTGCCTGTTAGACGTCCTTCTTGCCTCTCTGTCTGCCTGTCAGTCTGCCTGCTTGTCTGTCTCTCGCCTGCCTGCCTGTCAGACTTCCTTCCTTCCTCCCTGTCGGTTTCTCGCCTGCCTGCCTGTTAGACGTCCTTCTTGCCTCTCTGTCTGCCTGTCAGTCTGCCTGCCTGGCTGTCTCTCGCCTGCCTGCCTGTCAGACTTCCTTCCTGCCTGTCTGTTTGCCTGTCAGTCTGCCTGCTTGTCTGTCTCTCGCCTGCCTGCCTGTCAGACTTCCTTCCTGCCTGTCTGTCTGTCTCTCGCCCGCCTGCCTGCCTGCCTGTCTGTCTGGCAGCTCCTGGATGCGCTGAGTGTTATGTTCTCTCTGTCCATAGGTGCAGAACAGGCCTGCGTTCCTGTCTTTCAATTTGTCGACCCTGACATTCAGGTGAATTAGCCCGTCTTTGGTCACGCGAATATCATTGTGATTTTTACCCCTCACTTACATTAATCAACGATGTTCCAGCATGAATTAATATTTGACGTGGATCTGCTCCGGACATGTTTTTATGAAAAGCGGCTTTAATTTCAGGTAGCAGAGGACAGCTTACAGGCCTTAGAAGCGCCACCTATGGACCCTGCTATGCCTTCTAGAGTCTTCCTTGAAGCTACTTTGAAAGACGGCTTTTGTCCCATGATGCCGCACTCTATGTACTGCCTGCCTCTGTGGCCTGGTATCACACTGGTGCTGCTGACAAAGGTGCCTTAAGAGGGAATTTCATTATTGTAAACCATTGATTTTGGCACAGTAACCAGGGCCTATCTGCAGTTCTAGGAGTTCAGGACTCGTAGTTCTATATTGATTTTTAATTTATAGAAAACATCATAATTTCTAGTAGTGGATCAGTAACATTTCATAATTTCTAGTAGTGGATCAGTAAAATTTCATAATTTCTAGTAGTGGAAGTACAATATCAGCAGACAGGTGGCACTTTATAAGGTGTACAGAAGAGTCTGACCTGGAAAAGTGCTGATTTTTAAATTGATCCATCCATTGACTGGATGGGGGTAGGATACAGATCCGCATATCAGATTCTGATTGGTTGGCTCAGTGATCAGGTGACCTGTTTACCCACCTCTCCCCTCTGTTACCCTCAGATCCACAACTGCCAGGTGGCTGTGTCAGTCTACTACTTCCTGAACTGCTTCACTCAGCTGGAGAGGAAGCTGAGTGACCTGCAGTTTGGAGCGGCTCTTCCCCGCAGCCAGCACTCCTTGCATGACCTCCGCAGCAAGATGGACAAGTTTGTGCGAGCCCTGGGCAGCAGCAGCAGCATGCAGGTGAGTGCCGTCGCGTGAAACCTGCCTGTTCGTGATTCAGTTGGGCCATGCTAGTGTTCACCTGCCTTTGCTGGATAGTTACTTTTGGATTGAAGAAGGCCACTGTTAGGATCATTTATGCCACAGGCCGTCTGCTTAACACCTCCTGCACCTCTGTATTCTACAGCATACGTGGAATGATTTCAAAAATAAGGTTTTCTCCAGAGGTGGACCAAGAGTTAGTAAAGAGTGAGTAACATTTGGGTGATTTTCGTCCAGTCCCTATACCTCATATCTGTGGCCAGTGATAGGCATATTGTACGCTCATTCCTGTCTGCTTGCAGACTACTTCCCCATTGCCGGAATATGAAGACCCAGCTGTGTAACCTGTACAGGCAGTGCTTTGTAGCAGATGGGCCTAGGGACTGCCAGCGCCTGGCCCCCAGTCTGCAGGAGCGAGCCCGGCTCCTGGTGCAGTGCGTACTGTCTCCCTCCTCTTTGCTGATGCGATGGATGGATGGATGGATGGATGGATGGATGGAAGGACGGACTGTTGTTTTTAATCCAGAGCGCCACTGGTGTTCAGGTTCAGAGGCTGACATACTGACATGAGCAGAAGCCCTTCCTTAGCTGACTAGTAAAGATAAAGAGAAATGAAGTGAAGAACTTGTATCTTTATATCTCCTAACTGTTCCAGAGAGCAGCTCCTGGACTGGAAGGATTTCCTGCTGGTGAAGAGCAGAAGGAACGTCACTATGGTGTCATATCCTGTCTGTGCACAGAGCCGCCTGAACCCTGTGAAGAAAAACTGCAGCTCAAATATGATATTAAACAGCCAGTCTTGAGTATCACCACCTAACTCTGCAGGGTTGGCCGTTGGGTTGATGGGGCTGTGTTATTATGCTATGTTGTCCTTAACAGCACTGTCACGTATCTGGAGGAGTTCCCCGGCATGGTCCACTTCATCTATGTGGACCGCACGACAGGCCAGATGATCGCACCGTCCCTTAGTGTTACGGACCATTCCATTTCAGAGTTGGGAACGGGGCCATTGGCACGCTTTATTAAAAGCAAGGTTAGCCTCGTGCCTGCAGACATCCCTTTTCCTTGGCTGGTCTCTCCCATCCTACAGAATATATAAAAGTTGTAGCAACTTGCTGGATACATTCTTCTCCATTATGATATTATTTGGTACTATTGTCACTGGTATTTATTTTTCTTAAGGGGGGGGAAAAAAAACACTAAAGAGAATTCAATAAATGAGAAGGTGTAATGGAAAAATGATGGCCTGGGGGGGTCGTTGGGTGTGGGGGCCGCTGAGGAAGTACTTTTAGTGGAAGTACTTTTAGTGGAAGTAGTAGGTTCAAGCTAGAGGGATTCTGCTGCTGTAACCTTGAATGTAGTGTGGAGATGCTGTTTTACATTAAATAATGAAATAACCTTGAAGATGCCTTGTGACTGTCTGCAAGGTGTGGAGCTGCGTGGGAACTGCACGGCACTACCTGCAAAAGGGCTACACCACTGTCACCTTCAGGGACGGTGACTATTACTGCTGCTACTTCCTGTGGGTGGAAAGTGAGACGGTACGTGCTGCACTGGTTCTCAGAGCCATTCCATCCTGGTCTGGTCAGGAGCTTTACATCATGCGTACAAGATCCGTGAACGGTGTGTTTAAATCTGCAAACAGCAGCTCCTAACAGGCATGTGGATTCCTTATGGTCCGTTTTGCAGTGAATTTCTCCTCAAACTCATTTATTTTGATTATGGATGGAGCGCTTCCCTGTGAAAATGACAAACATGCCTGCAATGTGTTGTTCTGCCTTTGTGATCATACAAACCTCAAACAGGCAGCCAGAGTGAACAGCAGTGTGTTGACTGTCTCTTCAGGGTTACAAGCTGGAGGTGGTCGACCCCCCGGTCCTGTCAGATGACTCTGCCCCCGTAGGGATGCTAGCCTGGGATTACTACAGGTACTGTTCACTGATGGCTCTGCCCATTATTCGCTAATATCTGTATGCCACCTTGATTGACTGCCTGTGTGTCGCCCTCTACAGGAAACTACTGAGGTACTACACTAAGAACCATCAGACAGAGGTAGTCAAGTGCTATGAGCTGTTGACCATCCACCTGGGCGTCATCCCCAGCGAGTGCATCCTCCAGCACTGCTACCAGCTGGCCTGTAAGCTGTGGGAGCCGTCCCGCATCCCGCTGCTGTGAGAGCCACCGGGGGAAGCGGGGTGCGTCATTGAGAGCTCCAGGGGACAGCTTCATGAGCCGAAGCAACCTGCAGTCTTTAATAGAGAAGAGCCTCAGATCCTCCGCACTAGGAAGGCAAGGCAGGCAGCCTCAGACACAGCGCCTCCTGGAGGTCATCGACAGAATGACAGAGCTACGGACAAAATTAAAGAAGTCCCGCTTGCTTAGTCCTTCATGTGCACTGTTTTATTAGACAAAATGCGGGATTTTTGTGTTTGCACTCTCCACATGTGCTGCGATGGAGCATTGCGTTGCTGTGCCGATACTTCTCAGCTACTCCTTCCCCAACACACACACAGACACTGTTTCCCGGACTCCGTCCCCTTTTTCATGTCACAGTGCTTATAAGCAGACCCGCTGCCATCTTCAAAGGACCTCCATCTCTGCTCTGACTATACTTCCTTCTTGAATTCTCTCCTGCTGTAAACAGATGTCACATGAACCCAGAAATAAGCTGTCCTTAATACTCTTCCATTCATACAACCATCTATTCACACAGGACTTGTCCTTGGGTCTGACTTATTTGTTGACCAGAAGCTCTTGGATGGGTGCAGTCCAGGCTTTAAATAAAGGGCCCCTTGTCCACTGAGAGCCTTGGGTTCCAGTCTTTCTCCTCAAGGTGCTCCCTGTAGCGCCCCCGTGAGGTCACACACGGCCTCCTTCCTCACCAGCTCCTTCAGGAACCTGGTCTCAGCGCTGACATCGTGCACCAGCTGAGCCTGCATGGCGTCCGTGTGAAGGGATTCGTAGTAGTGTAGGGCCGTCCGGGGATGCTGCAGGTCATAGCCGAAGCCAGCCAAGCTCACCGTGTCACACAGCTGCAGGGCCACCATCACGGCGCTGGCGCCCAACGTAGGCACCGTCTGCCGGGGGGGGGACACGCGATATTCATGTAAATAAATTACAGTCTACTTCTGCAGACTGGTTACATTGTGACATTTAAGAAGTGTTGGGGGAAATTACCTTTTTCTGCGTTTTGGCATACAGCTGTAATTGCAGGCCAGTCTGGTGCATGATTTCAGGGTTGAGGATCCGGAAGTTTTCTGGCTTCAGGGGGACGTATTCCACGACGTTCCGCCAGAACCAGAGCTTGGACCACCAGTTCTGGGGTAGAAAGTCACTGTTAGCATAAAGGAACACAACTGGCCGCTATGATGAGGCCTGTGAATCTTTTTGAAAATGAAAATGAAATAACTCTAATTTCCACTTCCCTCTCTGTCATTTCTAAGCTCATAAACTTCTGTCTGGTTAGTACTGCGATGAGTATGAAGTTATGTGAATTGTAGATTGCTTTCTGTGCTTCAAAGACTAACTGGTGTCCTTATATTGTCTGTATTGTATGATTGTATGGGTGTGTGTGTATATATGTGCCCTGTGATGGACGGGCATCACCCCAGGGTCCCTCCTGCCTTTTGTCCTATGTTGTCTGGGAATGTCTCCTGACTGCTCTGCTCGAACAGTTGGATGGATGATTTGAACTGTTGATCATTGTATGTGTACATGGGATCTTGTGATCTAGAGGGCCGTTCTATTCACCAGAGGCTTCCCGGTGATCACAGACGTGAGCCATTTCAAGTCTAAGCTCTTGAAGACCACCAAAGCCACTATAACAGTGCCTTCATACTCTCTTGAGGAGTCTGGAGCCCCTTCTGGGTACATCATGCGGATGGTGGTTCTGGAACCGGCGTCTCTTTCGAAGCCAAAGACAGGGGCATTGTTCATTCTGTTAAGACGAAAAAGGAACTTCAGACAGATCCTCCTGTTTTTTAGAGAAGTGACCTGTTGTGAGAAATACCAGCTGTGTGCTTTTAAAGCACAATGCTATCAGGGCGCCAGCAGCCTGTCGCTCTCACCTGATGACGATGTCATACTGATCAATGTGAGCCCCCAGCTGGCTGCCGTACAGGACCCCACCGCTCCCTACCACCACACAGCGCTTGCACGCCTTGGAGCCCAGCAGGGCAGGGAGGCCGTTGTCAGGCAGCGTCCACAACGTCCTGGCTGCCACCTCCTCACTGCCCTGCAGACCCAGAGGTGGGGGGAGCCTCCATACCTCGGACCCATTCTCAAGGAACACTGGTATCTTGGGTAGGGCCGGCTGCGTGGGCGTGGTACGGAGGCGACTCCCGATCCAACCCTGCCGGCAATCTTGTGACAGCAGGGCAGCTGATTGGTTGAGCAGGGCCTGCAGGGGGTGGGTAGACCACTCTGTTGCTATGGCCATAGAATGGCTACCCCATCATGTTTTACATAGCATATTGCCGAGTTTCCCAATCTGGTTCTTGAGTACACACAGGCAGTCCACAGTTTTGCTCCCTGCCAGACAGTCCATGTTTTTGCTCCCTCCCAAATCCTGGGAGCAAAAACATGGACTGACTGTGGGTCCTCAGGGACTGGATTGGGAAACCACTGAATGCCACATCGTACAGCAAACTCATGTGATGTTTGTGACGAAGGAGAACATTCCATTACAAAAACCCATAGAGATATTAAACCTGCCCTTGTCCTTATAATTATCTGTGAATGGGGACTAGTCAATGCAATTAAGTATCATTCTTTTCAGATCAATGCTTGCTTGTGTACCATGATTCCTTCAGATGTCCTTTCATTCTTCCTTGTAGACTCTGCACTGATCCAAAAAGCTGGGAAGAGCAGAGCAGCATAACAGACCAGCAGGAGCAGAAAACTCAAAGACAGGTTCTTCTCTCTGTAGTTCACACAGAACAGCAAACACATCAGCCTAGAATAAGTGCCCCTGAGACAGGGTACATGGCCAGTTGTCTTAAAAACAGCAGATCCTGAAATGTCTCGTCTGAGCATCATGGTTTCTTGTAACAGACAATAGACTGTCAGCTATGTTTCTCTTCCATTTAATGTTCTATATACACTGTATGAAACCTTTGGAATTATCTGTCTTCTGCATTAATCAGTCATAAAATGTCATCTGATCATCTAAGTTACAATTACAAACAAATGCAACCTGATTTAACTAATAAATTATTGTATTTTTCTTGTACATATTGGATTCATCATTGAAACACTCGACAGTGTAGGTAGGAAAAAAGTAAGGGAACAAGTCGATTTAATACCTGGTTGAACATCAACTGGCAGCAATAACCTCAAACAAGCACTTCCTGTAGCTGTAGATTGGGCCTGCACAACATTCTGGAGCAATTTGGTACTAAATTGTCTTCATTTATACACAGTTTGTCTAACCACGGTCTAATGACTAGCTAAACTCTCTGTGGCCCTTTCCAGCGTAATGCAAACCAACAATTCTTGATCATAAGTCTTCTGAGATCTATTTTTTGCTAGGCATGATTCTCAAAATATTTGAGCGTTTGTTAATAAGTCAAAGTAGCTGTAGCCCTCTCCTCCAATCTCATTTCCTTGATTGGAGTCAGGTTTCAGGTTTGCTAACTCCTGACTCAATCTGGAACTGTTGAATCCATTAACCTAAGGGGAGTTCCCCAGAACTATTCCTGGAGGGCCAGAATCCAACACAATTTGCATATTTCCGTATTCAAGCACAGCTACTAAACCTGACAATTAGGCAGTTTGAGCAGGGAAATCTGCAAATTTTCAAAGATGTTTTCAGTGCGTACAAAAACAGCACAATGTTTTGTGTATTATCCATTAAAAAAGGTTGTGGTTGTTCATTATTGTTACCTCAGATGAAGATCAGATCACATTTTATGACCAATTAATGCAGAAAACCAAACATTTCCAAAGGATTCACATACTTTTTTTTGCTAATGTACTGCTGTGAAATAAATTTTACACAGTGTTCTTGCAGGCAAGTTGCGTTACCTGGCTGCCATGACAGTGATATTTCACAGTTACCTGCTAATGAAGAATCCTCTCGGCTCCACCTTCCTCTTTCTGAAAGGCAGCCTGTCTGTTTTCTCCACCTCAAGCAGAAGATGAGTGCAGCCATCTCCGAGATCTTTTGCGAAAGGATGGTTTAAAGTACCCATGATGTCAGTCTTGGGGTACTAGCAGAGTGTAAGTCTGTCTGCGGTGTGTGGCTCGCAGACCCTCCGGGGTAAAGGATGAGTAGCGACGGAGTACCATGTGCAGCCTGACTGGTGTAAACGGCAGGGTGTGTCTGCTGTCTGATCCGGTGTCTCATCATGCTGTTTTTCTATCTTATGCAAGTGAACTTAGTCCCATCCTCACCCAGACATGTTAATTATTCAACAGCTCAGACTTGGACTTTGCCCATTTGTGCTGCTGGACACACACACATAGGTACATCTCCATGCACTGTAGATACACTGTCTGCACTGTACTGTAGATACACTGTCTGCACTGTACTGTAGATACACTGTCTGCACTATCTGAGCCCTGCATATTCCACATCTTACACTCATCTCATTTCCCTACAGCTCTATATAATGTATGGATGTGCTTCACTGATTGAAAACATTTAAAAGGGTTCAGTGTGACCTCACACTCTAAGTGCATTTCAGGAAGCTGCATAAGAAACTGAGGAGTGGTGTACTGCCCTCTTTTGGATATGATGGACCTTCCAGTCATGATGGAAGATGAAATGGAAAAATGTGTCTCTTGGTACACAGTGGGTAGCATTAAAAACTCCCAACTCCAAGGCTGGGGGTTCGAACCCCAGATTTTTTTTGTGTGGAGTTTGCATGTGTGAAATTGTGATGCCTACTTTGGTAACATGGTAATATATTCGTCCACTTGGGAGGAACATTTGGAAAAATTACAATGGCTGTTTTACCAACTCCCTGACGCATAATATTAAACCTTTAAATGTGAATTTTGCGAAAACCAGGGTCACTTACATAGACAAGAGCAGACACAGCCTGTTGAGGTCAAGATTTCTGCAATCATTTGATTTTCCTCCTCCTAAGTGTAAAAAAAAAAGGATGTTGGATATGACGGATTATTACTTTTTATTTTGCAAGAATCTTTCAGATGTTGTGTCACTGTTAATTAACCTCCTCAGTTCATCCAAAAATGTTGTCTGGTCTCCAGAATGTGAAATTGCATTTAATTCTGCCAAAGATTTCCTCCCTCCCTTTTAACTTACAGATTGATGTGAGCACCAGTGGGACCAGTGCGGTGTTAATTCAGGCGGATGATGATGGAATTGACTTGTTTCGTCGGTAACTGAAATATCATAGAAGTCCACTAACAATATCAATTTATCCTTACGGCACTTAAATTTGGTTATAGTTAAAGCAAAGTCTGTGAGATAGAGGCCCGTAGCTAAAATGTAAGACCTACCCAAAATAAAATGTTTCACCCCATTTTAAATATGACCTTGTGCTCCCACCCCAACCCTAACACAACTCTCAATTTTTATTTAAATAAATCTGGGCTTTATTAATTCAAGTACTACAAATAATACAATTAACTTAAAGAGCGGAACAAACCATAAATCAATAAATAAAACAAAGCTAACTCTGTGAGAAATAAATTGTACTGTACCAAAGGAAAAAGGTACTAGCAGGTTGCAGAAAACTACCCTCACTCTCTAACTGAACATACAGAGGAGAAAAACACATGGAACCATGGTAATATAACTGCAAAGTATCAAGGCTCTTGTCCACCCACAGATGGTAGGAAATTTATACAAAAGCTAACAAATATCAGTTAACTACAATCAGAGCGGCACAGAGCGTACAGAGTGGCAAAAAGAGGCCTCACCGCTCTCTCTCCAGGCCATTTGAAGGGGCACCAAACAACAGTGTCCAATCCAGCAGAAGAGGCACTCAGTTGTTGCACCTGATGGAAGAGAGAGGTACATAACCGTGCACAAAAATCTAAATAGTGCCTAGGATGTGACATAAATTCTTAATCTAATAATCTTGGGTTTGTCTTGTACCCTGTGCTGCCCATGATTGGCTCCGGGGATAACCGGACCTGGATAAGCACTTATAATGTGGATGGATGTCTAAACTACACTTATTAGCATTCACAAATTCAAAAGTATTCTTATTGGCCCACACGGCTCCAGGTCGGATTGGCTCCAGAGCAGTGTGTTTAGTGTGGCAGGCCTGGGGGTGCATTTCTTTATGATCAGATCATGTTTCGTTCACTACTAAGTTCTTTGCATAAGTACATTTCACATCAGGAAGGCGGAAAGGCTCTCAGAGGCACTTATCATTTGGGAGGGTTAGAGGTGGATACTTAGCATGGCCTCTGGGGTCTCCTGCCGTAAAACTGAAAATGTCCGATGGGACGAATCAGGTGTACCCTCTATACATCTGAAAGGCAGCACATAAATAAAATGCTGAACTCCTCATTGCTTATTACTGAGATGCAGAAATATTCTTTAGACCATTTTTGTATGTATGTAAATGAAATAAGTAAACAACATTAAAAGGATCTTTTCCATTTTTCCGGGTTACCTCAAACGCTAGATGCTTGTCCTGAGGCCGAACAGTGTCATTATTATGGTGATGCAAGAACTTCAGTTCCATCTCTGACCAAGACAGAGAGCAGATAGCCAAGCCACCTGGCTAAGACTGGCTATGAGGTGCGTCCCCAGACAGACAACAAAACGTAGTCTATTAAGTTAAAACAGCTGAGAAACAAAGACAACTAGGCCTATAAATTTTTATGATATAGTAGATATAAATCTTTCAAATTAGAGGGGACAGCTTTGCAACGAAGATTTATGTCTCTTTTTTGTGTCAAAACAAGCCTTTTCTGCTAAAACAAAACTGCACGGAAAATGACACAGAAACGTGTGAATAATTACAACCCAAATGAGCATTTTAGGCAATACTACAAAGGAACCACACGAGGGCACTATGGCTAAACCCAAAGAAAACTGATTACAGGTATAAACACGCCAACCCTGTTGTATGGAAAATGAATTAAAGAATGAATGAACATCCTGAGTGAAATATATTGTTCTTATAAGGCATAGAAGAAATCATAAGTTGTTTTATTATGATATGTAACTTTGCCTTGTCAAGGGAAAGTTCTTCCCACAAAAGATACAGCATCTATTTTTAAACCAATGGTACAATTCAGAACAAACAATCAATGCTAATAACTTTCCTCAGGAAGCGCTCTCCAAAAGGCTCCCATATTATTTAACCTCTGTGTTGATCTTGCATTTCTGACCATTGTAATTGTTGCCTGAAGTTGACTAGGATGAGAGTATAACATTCAGAGATGCATAAAGGAATATTGGCAAGGCAAAAAACAGCAGCACGGTAATAACACAGAATTATAAAGTGTATTTTATTTTCATTGGTGGAAGGCTTTCAGTTTTTCAACAATAAGCTGAACCATGTACGTTACAATTTTCCATACAGAGATGCTAAAATGTCATTGTCAAGCCTTTGAAGTTTCACAGATATGAAAAAGCCTCACATCAGTCATCATTTTGTAATAACTAGGTAATAGTAGCACTTATGTATGGTTCTTGCATTGTTAAAGCTTTTAGTGGACATTTAGATGATAGAGTACAAATTGAGCTAAAATCAAAAAGCAAACCAGTAAAGAAGGACTGTGAGACACCATACAGAGTCACAGTAATTCTTAAAATGTCCCAGTGAAAGAAAGAACACTTAAAGTGACTTTTAGAAGCAGAGATCTAGCACAGGACTTGGAAGTCTTCATCGCGGTGGCCAGTGTGCTTCCCAGTACTGCTGCACTCAGCACCATTAACACTGATATATGTAGATTCTCATTTGACAACTGGGGTCATTTCTGATCCACCTCAGGGTGTAACTAGTTACATTTTGTATGCCTTTAATAACTTTCCTCATTTCTAACCGTAACTACTTAATACGAGGTCTGTCTGCTCAGAAACAGATGTGAGTTAATACTGTGAGAAACATTACGAACGTCTGAATGTCAGAGTGCGTCTAACAATTGCATATTTCATTGTGACCTTTGTGTCCGTTACCCAACGCATGTCACAAGATGGAGTTTCTATTACAGAAACCAGGCAGAGACACTTAGATGGATAAGGCAAGTTCATAGATCTGACAGAAGCAGATACAAAGACCTTGAAAACTGCAGTGAAGTTCTGTGAGCATGTGACATGCATGGTGCCATCCCCAGTGTGGATGCCATAATGTTTGCTGTTCATCAGTAGCTACAGTGTATAGTTATGTAAGGACACAGCCACTTGTTGGCCAGGATCACATCAATGTTTTCTTTGCATCTCCATGCATTTCTTTCGCAGTACAAGTGCTTCTGAGACCACAGGTCTCCAGATTCCCTTAGACCGGTGTTTCCCAATCTGGTCCTTGGGGGAGCCACAGTCGGTCCATGTTTTTGCTCCCTCTGAGCTCTCTGCCAGACAGTCCACATTTTTGCTTCGGGTAGGGAGATGGGAGGGAGTAAAAATGCAGGCTGTCTGTGGGTCCCAAGGACCGGATTGGGAAACACTGCCTTAAACCAGTTGGCTACAGTCCACTGTCTATTGACCCACCACCATTCAGTGCTTCAGTGTAAAGAAATGGCCAATTTGATTAAGGCAAAGTGAAATGTGAAAAAAGCACACAACTCCACTGCTGACAACGTAACATTTACGCACACATGTCTTTGAATAAATGTTGAAATTCCTCCCTCTTAAATGATACATTACATTAAGCAGCTAAAGAATATTCATTTATAAGATACTGATATCCAGATGTTCCTAAAATATGCTAGCTAATGCTTTATTTATACTGGATGGTTTGTGTTCCCATGTCAACCGCAGCCATCCTCACCTTGTGTGCTGTCTGTCATCCTATTCTGATTTTCACGTTCAGCAATACTAGATTGCAAGCAACTTAGAGCAGATTAATCCAGATAAGCGATACTGCACATGACACAGACCTGTTCGGTCTCAGCAGATCTGCAGCATGTTGCTTTTCTGCATTTACAGACGGCCGCGATCAGAGATGGGTGACAGCACTGCTTGCAGGGACTCCTTCCAGACAGTTGTACAAAGCTGCTTTCTTCTGTGCACTTCAGGTGACAACCAGAGCTAAAATGACTCAAGAAATCCAGGGCAAAAACAGGTAGGTTGCAGAGCAGCTCAGCCCTGTCAGAATATGCAGAGGACAGCGCTTAAGGGTGTTAGAGAACAGAGGCGGCATGGCCGTGCGGTGCAGAGCGGGGGAGTCTGCTACCCTGTCATCCGACCGTGAGCGAAGGTCTCAGCCGCTCACAGAGACAGGCTGTGGGCCGCGGACGCTGAACTCCGCGCTCGCTGCACCACCGCCTGGCACTTCTCCCGCTTCAGCAGTTTGTTGTTCTCAAAGAGCCCCTCGCTGCGTGGCACTCCATGAGCCCCATCTGGGAATGTGAGCAGCCCTGCCCAGGGGTCAGACATAGAACGGGAGAATACTTTAGGATGCCAGGCTGCCCCATGTACAGTTTGGGTCATAAATTGAATGCAGTGCTGTGTTAATGATGGGGGGGGGGGGGGGGGGTCGGTCAATATGGACCTTCACAATCCAGGATGGCAGAATCATCACACTGAGACCAAGAAGCCATCGAGAGTTCATAGGTTCTAGTAGGTAAACCCAGATCTCTAACAAAGCATTACCATATCCTTCCACCCGTCCGCCTTTGAACTCTCCTTCGAACTTCATTCCATCGAATCGAATGAAGACCCCAACACCCTGGAACTTTCCCTGTACAAAATCGCCTTCATACCTGTGACAAGGGTGGGAATGATTGTTAAAGTTCTGTCCTTTTTGTCATTATCTCTCAGTGTGAAAGGAGGAAGGGAGCAGGTATACATTGTTAATAACCGCTCACTCTATGGTGTCCTACAAAAAATTATGGGATATATAGTTATGAATAAAACATTGCCTTATTCTGAGAAATTAAAAGTAGAATAACTAAGGCTGACTATTTAATTTTTTAATAGCACTTTTAGTAACACTTGGTACTGTGAGTTTGATAGTGACACAAACACCACACATCCATCTTTTAACCAGGTATCTAGGTCGGGGTTGGGGGGGGGGTGTGAGCCTGGCAGATACACACACTTTAGAGCAATGTTGGGCATTTCAGGTCCAGAAATTACCAACCAGCTGAGTATAATGCAGTACAGTCACAGAGCGATCAACTGGTTGGTACAAACAAAATCTTGGTCTAGATTTGGATCTTCTGGACCTGAAATGCCCAACACTGCTTTAGAGATGCCAGTTATCCTGGACTGTTGGAGGAGAGCAGAGTACCTGGGCAAAACCCTTGTGACATAGGGAGCGCATGCAAACTCCACACACAATGAGTGTAGGTGGGATTTGAACACCTGAGGTCTGTGACTACTGTGCTGTACAGATAAAAAACATTCATTTTTAAATTCCTGATCATGAGCAACATGACAGCCAGAGTAAATGTTCAGTTGCTTTTCACCAATATAACAAAGGAGTCACTGAATCCAATCAAATGAACATCGGTACATTCACTGAGGGCTTTGGCAAAAGGCTTTTTCAAATACGCCAGAAAAGGGTGAAGGGCTGCTTAGTGAGGGCTTCAGCTGCTGAAAATGTCTGTAATCCTCAGACAATAGTATCTGCCACAGCCCTTTGTCCTTTCTCCTGTTAACAAGTATTTTCTCAGTGTCTGCTGCAGAAAAACCACAACACGAGGATGGATGATCTGGCCCCGCCATAGTCACAGCCCCCATCCAAGTCAAAGTGCTACCAACTGATTAAGTTCCACTGTTTAGCTGTCAAAGTAAAATTACAGTACTTGTAGCTAAAGGTATTTAGGAGGTACAGTACTGTGCATATGTCTTAAGCGGCCAGACACAGATTATGTTTAATTGATCTTTATGTTGGTGTAAAACTATATTATTATGTCTGTCAAAGTGTGTCAGCTTAGCCATTTCAAAACTTCTGCTAAAATCACTCCAGTATTTGCAGCAACCATCAAATACACCCATGTGTTTTTTGACTTGACCACTAGCACACCTCGTATAGGTAATCAATACCTTGCCTATGAAGAGGTTTGGGAACCGAATGGTTTTCATCTAGCCATCCAGCAAGATAATCAGTAACTTTTTGGAAAACAGGAGAAGCTCCTACTAGTTTTTATTATGTTATTCTTAATTTGCATATCTTTTAATGCTAAATTGTTGTTGTAAGAGCAAAAGTGCACTTACCGCACAGATAAATAGCTTTAAACATTTCTGTTGACTGCCTAAGACTTTTGCACAATACTGTAAGTTAAATGCATGTGTGTTTTGCAGCATGCCACTGAACAGAAGTTGGAGATGCAGTGTTATCCTGCACCAAGCTGCTGAAAATGCAACTTTGCCCTTAAAACTGGCTGCTGCATCTGGATCTGATGACTAGAAGACGATGAGTCCTGCAGACAGAGATTCAGCAGCTTTCTTTTCCTGCACGATATTTTACATTTTATTACTTTTGATGCATTGCCAGAATTAGCAGCTGCTTCCCGCTGTTGATATTTTGGATACCAAACGTACAGCACAGTTCAGCCAGCCCTCTGTCAGTAAAGCTTTGAGAGCTAAAGCATTTTCCATCGATCGATAAAATTGTAGAAATGCTAATGAATGTTAACCACAGTTTTTAGGTATGAAATGGTAGAGATTACGTTTGACTTTTGCACTAAGAGTACTGTTGTTAGTAGAATCTATAATTGATAAAGATGGTGTGTACCTGGAACCATCAGGAAAAGCCAAGACCCCACAGCCGTTGAACAGGCCGTTCTCAAACTGTCCTGTGTAACACGTACCATCAGAGAACTTCAGCTGACCCAAACCATGCCTCCGACCTATAACCAAATCACCAACGTTATTACATGAAAAGAAAGATCTCTGTTACCCATGTGACTATTTCAAATTCAGTTTTCAGGTCCCATTACCTGTAGCTGATGTTTCAAATGATAAAATTCAGATTTACTACCTTAGTGTGAATTTCCTAGCTCTGTAAATGCATACAGATATCAAATTCTACTTCAAATATATGTATACCATTTACATATCTAAATTGAATGTCATTTTATAAATCCTGCGTACTCTCAGTATAGTCTTTATTTGTACAAACAGTCTGAATATACTTCCGGCTAGTCTTATAGTTGGTCATATGTGGTCATATACTTGCCGATTAACATTATTAACTGTAGTCCTGAACCCTGTTACTATCTGGTGTAAATTTGACATGTGATCTGTGTTGATCTGGCCCGATGATTTTCATAGGCATCCAACAAAGAACATTTCTGACAGTACAATAAAACAGTTGGGAAAATTCACATCTATTGGCAAATTCTCCGCTCATACTGTAATGGCATTTATATTGAAGACTGCCATGCCTTTAGATCTTTAGGTCTGTTGCTATGAAAGACCCTTGAAAAAACTTCTATTTTAATCCGTCATTCACAGTGCATGTAATGCCTCTCAGAATGAAGGCCCATGCCCATGCCACACTTTCCATCTACATAGGAGTTGTATGCGAGGAATGTGAAATGTCCTGCCTTCCTTCCAATCGCCGTGGTACTCCTCTCCGCTGGAGTAAGTGAAGGATCCTCTTGTCAGCGTCATACTCTCAGCGTCCTGCCTGTAGCCAGGAGACACATGATCCAAAGTGAGCCTGGGACCGAATGAGTTAAATGGAGCGCACCGTTTGTCCTTAGTTGACTGTAAATGTACAGAATCGAAGGCAGGCATCAAGAGACTGCATTACAGTAAAAAATGAACATTGGGCAATTAATATGATAAATAGCAGTTCTATTTTTTTTAACTATTGATTATTTCATGAGTCACGCATTTATTAATGCCTAAGAATCAAACATGAGCGCGCGTGTGCGTAGCGGTAAGGCATCTATATATATTCACCTCCGAAAAATTACTATTACTATCTCAATGTGAGACAATAATAATAGAGTATCGCCCGTTCAATGTATCTTCTCGATTTACAGGACGAAATAGTATGCCTTGATGTAATGTTGTTACAGTAATGCTAAAAGTCAGGTCCCTTTATGTCGCCGGCGTATCACTTATCGGTCACAGGCAGTCTAAGCAATATCTGTAAAGGCAGTTTCCGTAGTCTGCTCTTTTTTTTTACATTGGATTGGCATTTCCTTTACCTGCTTAATGTGTATGAGACTTCGGACTCATGTAAATCCTTAATTTGGACCAAGGTATTGTGCGGAGAAAGAAAATAACTCTTTCGCTGAAGCTGGTGACGATAATGAGCTTCTCAAGACCCACCTCCTCTAGCGTCAAGGCTTCCCAATCATCTTAAAGCGCTGGTGTTTTATTGGACGCTTTCCTTCGTGCTCTCCAAAAGTACTACGATTCTATATCTTAAATCTCCATACCTTATAAATTATCATCCCGAGTACCAGTACTGAAGCCTTGTTTATTTTAATTTCCCAGGTATATATATCTGTGCTTGCTTTTTCGTTCAAAATGCATAGAAATAAAGGGTTAATATTTGGTACTATCATGTGACTTTAACAATTTGGTGAGAGAATTCTTTTTCTGGTGATGCTGTACAGTCTTTTCATCCTCTGTAATACAATGAGGACTGTGCCCATCCAAATTATTTGAAACTTAAAATGTTAATAATTACGTTGACAAAATTTGACGGTAATGATGAGGGTAAGGTAGCACAGAGTAAAAAACATCATTTTTATATTTAGTATTTCTTGTAATATGGGGTTTTGTCCGGAAGCACCAAACCATGGTTTTCACCAGTAATTAATGTCCATATTTAATACATTACTTGCGATCCATATGGAAATACTTTTTTAATCATTTTAGTTTGAGGAAATGTTCTTTTCTCCATTGATGGTATGCTCTCTGAGTTGTAGTTGTTTCAGACAAATGCTTTAAATTGGAAAAGGTATAAGTACCAGTTCTGTCTTGGTATTCAATATACCAGCAAATTATAAGAGGTGCCAAAAATTTGAAGAGACAAACTAGGTGCCAGTACTGTGTGATGGAGAGTACTGGCCCAGCTCAGCCTCAGGTTTTAGGTGAAGCTAGAAACGATATATCCATTCTGATATATCTGGTCACTTCCACTAAAATGCACTGTGCCTTTTCAGTAAGAGCCAATGACCATATTTCATATTTGCTGCAATTTGTTTATACCTAAATAAGCCTTCTGGCATGCATTTGGGATGCATGTAATTCATGAACTGAATTTGACTGTAATAATAAAAAAAAAAGCAGCTGGAATCTGATTACCACGTACGTGCTACTCCACATAATTACTTGGTACGCCTGTTACACCCTGCAGTCAAAAAGCTCCATCCGTCTTACATCTTCTTATCCAAGGAAGCACAGGACACAAGGCTGCACTCTGACACAAACAATCATACTGAGATAAGGGGGAACACGCAAACTCTATACACATACAAGTATTTGTTAGTCTACAGTTGCATGTATGCAGTTGCAAACTGCCATAATCATAGCCTAGAGGACAGATACATTCTTCTAAACTGCAGGGGGAAATCAGAGGACCCAGAATAGCCAAATTCCCATATAGAGAGCTAGGGCAGCGGTTTTAACGCCCAACCCTGGAGTTGTGAGGCTGCAATGCCATACACTGGACCACTGTGCCAACCAGAACAAGGACATGCTCAAGAAAAGTAATGAACGTGACAATGATACTAATGCTTTAAAATTCAAACGTAAATCAGTCCTAAAGTTTTACAGTCAAAGGCAGATTTCACGTTTCATTGCTACAGCCAAAAGCATAGCTCAAAAACTTTCAAGAGGTAGAAACCCGAAACACTCGCAAGCACGCGCGCGTACTCAAAGAAAAAAAAAAACTGGAATGACGTACAGTAAAGAAACACCGGCAACGTGCGCGTCCACGAGAAGGGGCGACAGAAAATGGCGAGTCGGTGTAATAAGCAGCTATGCACCATCGAGAGGCGCGGCTTTCGGCAGGAACTTGATTCGTGGAGACATAAACTCACTTACAGTGTAGGTAAGCTACTATGCAATTATATATAGAACAAACAGCTGTGCGCGCATATGCAGTGTTTTGTCATGAAACGTCAAACAAAATCAGTTTGCAACCACAGGGAGCAGCATGGAGCGACCTTTTTTGTGTCGCATGGCTGTTTTTTGAAATAACTGACTGCTCGACGCGTTTGGTGTTTGCTTTTGTCTTCCAAATAATACCAATGTAGCAGAGATTGGAAAACATTTATGTCTGTTTATGCGAGTGAATAAATTTTATTGTAATTTGTTTTTATTTATGTGACGGCAATATACAGATCACGTGAGCGTGGCATTTTTGAGCCTTCGGCCAATGAGATGAAGTCCTTCCACGCGCGCTCCCAGCTTATTACAATTATAATTTGCAAGTTGGGGGAGGGTTCTTCAGAAGTAACATATACCACTGCATCGACAATCCGAGGTGCTGTGTAGATGGCGTTACTGAATATATATCATATGGAAGATGGCTAATGTCGCCTCATCCTTTAAATTGAACTGACATTCTCGTGTCCAGCTGACACATCTGAAATAGATGACTGGGTTACGGAACGAATCCAGCATTCAGTGTGACTGATACACAAACATGCTGGAGAGCTTGAAATATTTGTGTCATTGCATGCAAGATGTAAGGCACAAGGCCAAGTTTCCTTGTGTCTAAATTGTCACGGAAGTGTGGACTTTTGCCTAGACAGACCCGCCCCATATCCCTGATGAATTTTGTTGACTGGGGGTGGTCACCACGATAACTAATTCTGCTGTCCTAGGCCTGCTGTCTGTAGTGACATACATGTTAGAAGTGGTCAGGTTTTCCTGAACATTGTATTCTGTAACATAACAAGTAACACTGTCACACTGACGCTTTTAGCCTAAAGTGAAGTCGGTATACAAATATTGTAAATTTTACAGCAAAATAAAGATCGTAAGGGTTCAGTGACAATACAATGCAATGCTTTCAGAAAAGTATATACAACATGATGACGGTTATGATGTAGTTTATACGGTCACATATTGTTATACATCTAACCTGGCTTGTCCTGACCAGGGTACATAGTTGAAAGTTGCAGTTGTGAAAGCATACATTTTGTTTATTAGTAGCGGTAGATCTGTGAATCATTTGTTAATTTCCATGGCACTTGTATCCAGTGGAGCAGCGCACGCTGGCATCTAACCCAACCGCAAACGGACGCCCGTTCCGATCGGCCAAGCGCGTACGCAAGCGGCGGCGGTGTTTCTCGGACACGAGTACGGCGCTTTGTGCGGAGAAGCTGCCCCTGTCGGATGCAGGGACGCAGTTCTCTCTGCTAGTTTACAGGCGTTAGTAGTAATGCAGCGGAACCGGAGGCCACCCCGGTCTGACTCTCCCTCTCCCCCGTGGCCTGGTCACAGTCTGCAAAAGGCATGATTCAGACTCGAACCGGTGCCACAGTGTTCAGCGGCACTCCAGCTAACCTGCTGAGCTTCTCTTCTTGTAGTGAAGTGAACAAATTCATTCGGTCCCGCTTCAGTGCCCGCTGACAGATAATGTTTGTTAGTAGAAAAATTTCATATCCTCCTGAGACCCAAGGAAAAAAGTGTCCTTCAATTTTAGGTTATTTGACTTTGGGGAAATAAGAGATCTTACAATTTAGATTTTTTTCAAATTTATTTTTATTTTTAATTTCACAGCATGTCCTCTTTAGTGTACAACAGGAATAAATAAGTTTCCTTACATCAGTGAAAAGATAGATGAAAAAACAAAATGTCTACTACAATGGACATAAATGAATGGGTGGGGTCTCAGGAGGATATAGTTATTTTGGTATGCTGAGTAATTTTCTTTTTTTCCAGGTATTGGAAGTGCTCTAGAGGGACTGTTTCACCAAGAAGTTTTTGAAGATATAGATTTGCTCCAAGGTAGGAGTGTTTTATGTTTTCAATTTTTCTTTAATACCATTTCTGTTCACATATGCAGATATTAATTGTGCGCATTTTACATCATTTAGCGTATGGACACTGACCACCAAGTAATGATGACAGTGGAAACGTATTGGTTTACTACTGATGATTATGATTAGTGTGTTCTTACACCCTAAAGAAAACTTGGTGGTCAAGGTTAAAATTGTATCAGTATAAAGTTTATCAGAAAGTGTTTTGAATACACAGTTCTGTTGTCACGCCAGGATGGAGTAGTTTACATAACAAATAAATAGGCCTACCATGCTTTGTGCTTAGTATAATCTAACCTTTTTGCTGGATTACAGCTAGGGTGAACCATGCCTTATTTAGCTTGGTCTGTTTTAATAATAAGCTTTTTTTCTGTTGAAATTCAATGAACTATATTCACCATGCTTTTTAAAATGTATAATTGTATACATTTTTAGGGATAATGGTACTGAGTAAGCTAATATTGTTTTTTGCATAATGGTTCTGCAAGTCAGTAGTACAGCAGCCAGTAGTATAATTCATGTCAATCCATGTTGTCAGAGAGCCTTTTACATAGTTTTATTGGGATGTCACTTGAGCACTCAAATTAAATAACCCACAAGATTTGTTCCGCTCTCATTCAGTAGTTCACAGTCCAGCATGGCACCAATTGACTGACCCCACAAAACATTCCCCCTAAGCAGCTGTATGAGAAATTTGACTTGTCTTGGATGTATAAGACACACAAATGTCTGCTGTATGGAGGCCATTGCTAATGCTCTTTCAGATTGCATTGCTGAACAGAGGCATGCATTGTTTAGAGTTCGGTGACTTTATTTTAAACTGTGAAACGGAGCTGACGGTACCAGAACATGTGTGTCCAGCACAGCCAATGTAGCATAAAATTGGATGAGTTATGTTAAGTCACAATCAATCTTAAACCTAAACGGTATAAATGTAACCCATCGTTGTCATTGGATAATCCAAATCAAAGGTGGGGGGGGGGGTTCCCATTGGCCTTGAATTAGGCCTATAAGTGTGATTTTTTTTTGGAGGGGAGACTATACAATAATTAACTTGTGGAAAAGCATTACTGTTTCAAGCTATTGAAAATATCAGGGGCCAAGTCAAGTTTACATGGGGCTTGACTTTTTTTTCGAAGGTTTATTGGCATCGCGGCTAAAATAGGCCTACTTGGTACTATAGCCCTCAGTAATCAGAATTAACAGCCCCCGTGCTGCATGCCACTCCCAACATTTACGATGTGCATTTAACAGACCCAAGTATGATCACTTGTGAAATATGTATAAAAATCCATGGCTTTTTAATCCTGCATCTCCTCAGTATTTTAAAGATGGCTTTATTTTTTCAGTAGTAGGCGTAATTAAAGAGAATTAAATAAATTAAGACGATTTTCTGTATAATATCTATGCCACATAAGCGTCTGTGTGACTTACGTATAAAGTATTTTGTCTGCACGCTGTCCCTTAAGGATTAAAAACTACAACGGGACGTGTCGCCCTCCGATTTTCAGCGAAGCCCCCAGCCGGCGTCCAGCGTCTGACCTGAGCGCCTGCGGCTGTGGCTGAAATATTGTTCGGCCGTTTCACTTCGACACATTTTTATTCGGAGTACATTCGGCCCAGATTCTTTTTAAACATAAAACGTAGGAGAGTAACGCGGAGGCAAAACAGCCGCAGCCGTGCCGATACTATTAACGCTGACGCTCAGGTAGGCAGCAGTCAATCGTTCCGTTGTCTGGAGCGTTTTCACCCGGACCGTGATGTATATTAGTAAGGACGGCCGTTTTCTGAAATATTATACCGACATCACCGCTTATTTTCTTTAGTGGAAAGACCGGCGCAGTGACGCCCCCTTCCGGCAGTTCATCGGCTTTCCGAAACACATACACACCTGCGTCTGACATGTGACCAACTAAAGCAGCAACCGCATGGTGATCCGATCGCTAAACGTAGGAAATCTCTACGCATTAGTACAATTATGTAAATATTTGTTTTAATAGGTATGTTTTACAAATAACAAATGCTTAGCAAACAATATGTTTTTGCATGAAAATAGAGCGTGAGGACAGTTTGCGTTTGTCCTGCGTTTGTTTGGTTCCTTGAGTAATTAACGAAGAAAGTGGTAAGAAGACAAGTGCGTGTCGGTCTTTTGGTTTATGTTCTCTGGTGCTGTTTGGACGGCAACGTCGACCTTTGCTCTGTTGTTACTAAGCTGCCCAGTGGCATCGCTGGGTGTCCGCAGTGTGAGAGTGTGTGAGTGAGTGAGACAGACACAGAGATTCTGCGCCGGAGAGTTAGCGGCGGTGCTTGGTGCCACGTTGGATAGCATCGTCAGCGTGTGAATACAGGCGTGGGGTTCACTTTGATGGGGGGAAAAAGGAGAGCATTACAGCCGACTCTATTGGGGAATGGAGGAGTGGGTAACTGGAAATTCTTTGAAAGAATGCATTTTAAGAGTAAACAAATCTTTTTCATTAGAATCATGTCAAATGTGATGTATATTAGTTTCTCGCAATGCTGGATTGTATCTGCTTGCGTTTTTTTTAAAGACTAATTTTCCTTTATTTTCATTTAGGAGAACTTTTTTGGTTCAAACAACCAACACTACTACTACTTTGGACAAACTAATCATCAAACAAGCACAACTGAATAATAGACTGCCGAAGGAACTGCAAGTCTTTCTAAATGCCACCTTCTACAGTGAGTGGATTTATAAAGTAACAGCGTGAGTGTATTGATGGACTTTGAAATGTCAATCCATCACAATTTACCGTGTTTAAGAATGTTAACCTGCACCTGTAACGTGGCTCCTTATTAATGTCATGAGTGATAAATGTGAGGTTCCTCGCGTTATTTTCTAACTGTTCCTTGCCTGTCTGCACAGCGCACAGTGCAAGCTTTGTTGCGACCAACGTTTCTCTAGTGGCTCGCAGAGTAACGCGGCGAATGACCTGGCAGATTGCTGTGGACTATACCTCAGAAACCAGCTCTTCTCAGGACTGCCTTGCCGCCAGCGTTGCCAAGGACCAAAACCTGCCTGCCTCCTTGTGGCGTCTTCGCCAGCCCTTGTGCAGAATCCCATCCTTGGTGTGCTCCCGATGGCGGACCAGGACTCTCCGCTGGATCTCACCATCAGGAAGGACAAAGGGGAGCCAAGTGGCCAAGGTGAGGGATGATGCTCTGCATTAGTGTCCTGGTGATCAGCTGGCAATGCATGACTGTTCATAGCAGCCGGCTGAGCATGCCACGGGGGTGCACCATGATTTAGTAATGGTCAAATGAAGTTTCATGAACTATTTTCTGAATTTTGTGACCCCACTGGATGGTGTTCTTGGTTTAGGGCTCAAAGCTTGTCCCAAAGTAAACCAAGAGCACCATCTAGTGGTGTCAGAAAATACAGCAATTGGTTCATGGGAGGGGGGACACAAATGCTGACACGTAACAGCAGCAAAAGAAGTTGATCTTGTGAACAAGGTAACTCCAAAAGTATTTAGATATTTTTCAGACTTCCCAGGATCTCCGTATGGGTGCCGATCTGGGACCTATTTCATTTTGAGATGTATCCCACCAAATTGAAGCAGTGTCACTTAGTGGTGGCAGATGAAAGGACATCAGACACAGCTCTGGTGAACAAGATTACATTGTGACAAGTCAAGTTGGGCTTTTAGTCAACATTTTTTTGGCAAGTGTTTTGGATTATGAGGCTGTATGCTACTGATGTCAAATTTTTTCAGTGCCGTGTTTTCTGTCTCCTGTGCAGATGAGGTGCTTGATCTGTCCACCAAGGGGCGCTGTAGCACATCCCTCCCAAAGTCTGCCAGCAGCTCTGCGGTGCCTCCAGTGAAAGGGTAAGGAAGCACCCATGCACTGCTGAATGCTGTCTCACCCGCATGGTTCTGTCTCACTGTCCTGTTTGCTCCTATGTCCTCTGTTGGATGTTGCAATAGAGCCCTGCTTCTGTCATGTGGTTTTAATGAAGGATTTCAGCATTGTCTCATGTTTTTTACATTTCACCAAAGACTTGTGGGCAACTAATAAAAATGCAGGGACGACCCCTGCTGGGCATCTGGCTTTAAAACAAGATTGACTGATGGTTGCTCATCAGTCATAAGAGTCTGTTCATATGAACACAGTTGATTCATCCAAGGTGGGATAGTTTTTGTTTGAACACAAACTGCAGTGTTTTGCTTTAGATATGCTGGAAATTGTCTGGTGATGAAGTAAATGATTTTTAGTTTCGATTTCTGGTGGAAATTCCTTGTCAAAAGTCAAGTATTTGGCACCATACAGTTTTTAAAATACTGTGCATTTGGCTAGATATTGAAGTAAAGTTGTCTGTTATAAATGTGCGCGTCAACTCTGTCATATTATTAGTAAAGCAAAGTGGGTGCCATAGAATCGTTATCAGGGGCTGTCGATCAGCCCAATAGCAGCAGAGTAGCATCCATAGGTGCATGTGATTTGCCAAAGACAGAATGTCAGGTGGTGACACTCTGTCTTCTGGTTTATGTGCAGTATGTGCAACCCAGGTTTATGTGCAGTAAGAGCTGTTGTATGCATCAGACGACACCTACTGGCCCTATCCCATTGGTGCTGTTTGGGGTGTTGGCCACAAATGCTTGCCTCAATTCATGCCTGTATATATTCACTGCAACCTGCCCTGGAACATGTAAGGGTGCCCATGGACTCCAGTTTCCCATTTTACAGTTCATACCAGCCGTTGTTCATACCGTCGAAGATGTTTTTCCATCAGGTGGAGGCATTTGTTTGGCTTTATCTGCGTGCTGCATGTCTGTGAAGCTGGCTGATTGGGTCAGTGGGGGGGTTCCTGGGTGCTTTTCTGGGGACCCGCTGGGACAGGAGTGGGCCGCCCAGCACACGGGAGCACAAAGACGAGTGCCCTATTGCCAGGGACCGAAAAGGCCGCTGTTAGGATTAGCTGTTTCCTGGGGTCAGGAAAGCCTCAGACTCACTGGGTGCGTCTTTCACATAGCAGAGGCCCGCTTGTACTTTCATAAAGCAGGTAACTTTGTGCCATTTTGGCCCCTTTTCTCCGAAACAAGGGTCTCTGAGAACCCCATCAGTCATTCAGTCGTACATCCTGATGTTGGGTGCAGTACCTTCCTGCTGCTGGTCTTCTGGCTTGGCTGCCTTTTTGTTTCTCCCCTGACTGGAAGCTGACATCATTTGGGATATTATAAAGGGGCTTTTGCGGTTTGTCGGCTTAGGAACACGGTTGTATGTGAAATTTAGATGGGATGCGTGTGCAATAGAAAGTCATCTAAGAGTGTCTGACTCTGATTCTCCCTGTAATCTAAGATCTTCAGAAGTCATGAAAATGGTTTTTAATCCAAATAAAAGCAGCATGTGTGCCAGTTTCTGGCCTTTTAGTGAAAATGCTGAGTGCTTCTGCTATCTTGCCTACACCACCGTCCCTGTACACCTATTAATACACTGCGTTTTAAAGTTGTCTGGGTGAAAATAATGTGTGTAGGGGTGTGTGATTTGACAATATTAGATCGTGAACGATTAAAATCCCTTTAATCCCTAGTAAATGCCTTTGCGGAGAGATTATCGTTCCACAGTGCTCATTCTATCAGTTGCAGCTATACGGCTCATACGTGCATCTAAAGTTGTCAGCCAAATTTGTTTTGACACACCAATCATACAGTAATAGCAAACAGGTAGGGTCTTGGATTTCTTCCTCTCTCCCCCTTTAGCGCTGTTGTGCCAACATGCAACACATTCCATATTAGCCAACGTCCTGGCAGGGATGACGTGGAGGAGTTAGTCCCTGAATAGAATTTGACATCAGTAATATGGAACTTGAATTTCCGAAATTGATACTGCGCAAACAACAGTTATTTGGTAACAGTTATGGGAAGACTTTTATAGTGTTCAATGGGAGTCCATACTGAGTGTGGCGGTGAGATGAGCGGAATGGACAGATGAGTGCAGTCTGGAGATGGCTGTGGGGTCTAGGTTCTTTAACAGAGACCTCCGCTTTGTCTCCTCTCTCACTCACTGCACTGTAATGTGTTTTACCTGAGATGCAGTAGCATCTCCCTTTTGGTCACCGTCGCAGTGGCTTTAATCCAGGGGCCCGTTGGACCCTCCTGGCTGCGCTAAGGCAGCTTCGCTTTTTGCTGTCAAACTCTCATTTTCCCTCTGCATTTCACAGGTAATGTTAATTATTGTAAAAAGACTAAAACGGTGATGTTTTTTTTGTCAGTTTTTTAAAGTCTTATTACCATTTGTCTAGCAGATGCCTTTGACGAAAATTATACACTGATTCTGTTGCCTTTTCTGAATTAGACTGTGTGTGTGAATGGAAGATGGATGCACTATTATAAATGCAACCAGTCTGTCATTTTTACACTGACTGATACCGAGGCCTTTGCAGGTGGGCTGACAATGTAATCAGAATGATGGTGAAGTATCCATTACACCAGCATGGGTTGATCCCCTTAGGATCTTATGTTTGTTTTGACATTGCCTGTAGTGTGATTGTGTCAAGGTGCCCCCCCCCCCACATGCTGCCTGCCCCCCACAACCCTGTGCTGAGTAACCAGAGACTGGATGCATGTTTTAAATGTCAGTAAATGTAATAATAGCGTTTGAGGTATTGTTTCTGTTTGTGGAAAAAAAATAGACCTTTGAGGTCACTGTGCATGAAAGTTTAAAATATATATTTGGGGTTGCTGGTTAATGCTGGTTAAGCAGTGGTACGGTTGACCTTTACAGCAGTGTGGTTTGTTTTTCCAGTGCAAAGATTTTGTACTTTTTCAGAATAATAATAGCCTTACTTGTTGTGGACATGTATGGTGGTGGTAATTGCTTTTGGTATGTAGATGTTCTCCAGTTAAAATGTATACTTTGCATATCTGCCATTCTAAGAATATGGCAGCTCTTCCATTATGTGGGTCACTTCTGTGTGTTTAATGACACATCTCTTATCTTTGTCTTTTAGGAGTTTGCATCTGGCAAAAGCAAGAGATTTACAGTCAACATCCACCCTGGAGCAGTTCATGGCCAAACTGTGTCTCCATCACCAGCAGCAGATTGCAGATGCCCTGGGTTTCCTGCAGACTGAAGTTAAGGCTGTTGTAGCGCCCCCCCGAGCCCCAGATCACACAGATTCCAATCTAGCGTCCCAGCAGCATGCAGCCATGGATGTGGGAGTGGACAGTGAGAGAGGAACTGCCAGCATGACGGGTTGCAGAAGCTTGGTTCCAGAAGAGCCTGCTCAGGGAGCGTGTACATCCAGTACCGCTGATGGACTCTCTGCTCAGCAGAAGCATGCCAACACCCTGTATCTCCATGGACATTGTTCAGAAGATGGGGGAGACTCCTCATTGTCACCGGACATTATCAAAAGTGGTGAGAGAGAGAACCGTGTCCATAGTAATGTCTTGAATGCTGCAGGGGAAAAGTCTGACAGTCTGGTTGAAGTGAATTTGTCAAGCTCTTCTCACCCTGTGGAAGGCACTTTAGAGGAGCGACAGTGCAATCCTAATACTCCCTCACGTTCAAGTAGAGGTGGGTCTCATCCTGTGACACTTGATTCGTCTTCAGTAAGGCATGGTCAGGGTTTCTGTCCTCTGCATCTCACGGGACAGACAGGCTCTTCTGGGAATACCAAAGACTTCTTGGCTGGGCCCTACCCTGTGCTAGAGACATCAAAGACAAGCTGCGCTATATCCCCTAGGAAAGCTCGAAAAAGTAGGAGGCGGCTTTACCCTCTGGCCCGGGACTTTTCTGTTTGTCGGGTCGATTATGATGGCCATTATGACATTGTGTATGTTAGCAAGCCGGTAACAGAAAGTGAGGTCTGTCCCCGGCACCGCTTGCCCCTTCGGCAGAATGCCAGAAAGAGCACACGAGGTCACACGTATTTAGATGAGATCTGGCAGCTGAAAACGGTCCGAACACTGTCTTTAAAAGCTAAGGACAATGAGAAGGGCGACTGGCCTGCTCCGATAGCTGCAAGTAACACACTGGTTACCCCTGTGCAAGTTCCTGGCAAGCCAGATGGTGTCCCTCCAGTAGATATACCACTCGCTGGGGGCTGTGAAGAGGCAATCAGTCAGAACGAGCCTGGGGAGGAGCCAGCCGAGATTGTAACTGCCGAGTGTAACAGAATAGCGTTCACAGATTCTGAGTGTCCCAGAGGAGGCAGCCCAACAAGCCACACACAGAATGAGGAGCAGCCTCTTGCTCCTGTCAGGCATCAGGATGCGGTACTTGACGAGCAGGAGGTTTTGGATCCCACCAGCGTCATGGCAGTTCTCGAGGATGCCAGAGAGCGGTCGGGTGACCCTGGAGGACATGAAGATGTGCAGCCGCCTGACATTCTACCACCTCAAATTGAGGGAGCACCAGCTCCGTTTGTGTCAGATACCATGTCGACAGAAGATGGGCTTCTTGACTGTGCTGAGGCTGAAACGTGTTTGCAGGAAGATCAACCCATTGAACCACCGCCAGAAGAGATACTATCAAAAGACAACCCTGCCGTAGAAAGAGAAGAGGGAGTTCAGGCAACAATGGATGAGCTGGAAAAACAAGGGAATGAATCTGCCTGCCAGGAAACGCACAACATACTCCATGAGACAAGTGAGGTGGAGACACCACCAACAACTGAGCCAGAATCTGCTACGCATTTAGTGCAGCTTGAGAAGGATGGAGCATTGAATGAAGCAACAGTAGTCGTGCCAGCAAGCATAAGCACAAAAAAGGTCAATGGAAGTGATGATGCAACTCTGGATAGGTGCTTGCGAAGTACTAAAAAGACAAGCTTGTCGGAGTCGGTGAAACTTTGCGACACTGCTGAAGAAATGCCTGAAGCATCAGAGGAGAATGTCTCAGAAAGCCCAAGGCAGAATCTCAGAACGCATGGGACTGCAGACGTGAAACCGAGGGACGAGCCTGGCCGAGTCTTGCGCTCCTCTTCTGTAGGGAAGGCCAACGCTGACCAAGTAGAAGGAGCCATACAGACAAGAAGCCGGCCTAAGCTGACATTGATAAAGGGAGGGGTGAACGACAGTGGGATACAGGTCAGCACAGGGCCCAGCACAGAGATGGAGAGCCCAAAGGTAGCCAAGGACAGCCGGGAGAAGAGAGCAACCATGTCCCCACGTGATTGCCTGAGGACAGATGCCAAGGTAGCTGGTGCCATGGAATCGTGTGGAAAAATGCAACTAAGAAAAGACAGCGAAAGTGTCTGTGCAGGTGAAAGCTTGAGCTCGATGACCTCGGGAAAAAATCACTTTGGATCCAAGCGGCCACATAGTCTGGACTGTCTCCTGAAAACCAGGCCAGAGAAACAGGCACTGAAACAGAAGGACGCCGATAAGTTTGGCCTGTGCAAGATGGAGCTTTTGGGCTCAAACCCTCATAAGTTTGTGGGTATCCTAAAAAAGGAAGAAAACCAGCAACTCATCAGCAGTCTAAATAACAAGTATGACAAAATGCAGAGGGGCTGGATTCAGATTGACAGAGTGGGTCAGCACATGACAGGCAGATCCAAGAACAGGGCAGACCGACTGAAGGAGATCTGGAAGAGTAAACGGAGAGTCCGAAAGGTGAAGTGTGTCGGTCAGCTAAAATCCTCGCCTGTGCACATGCTGTTTACGAAGACTTTTGACCTGAGCACTATCTGTCACTGGTTTTTACAGACCACTGAAACGAAATCACTTGTGATCACTAAAAAAGCGAATACGAGACTCTCATCAGAAACTCAACTTTGCTTCCATAGTTCCTCTGGCATGCCAGGTTCCTCTCATGGTGTTTTTCCAAGTTTGCAAGCTGAACGCTTAAAAAAGCACCTAAAAAAATTTGCTGTGGCATCCCCAGTGAAGAGCAATCCCAAGAACCAAAGACTGATATCTAAAGCCTGGGAACGGGGGGACTCTTGTAGCAGAGGGAGGGACATGACAAAAGAATTGACCAGAGCCTCAGGCATATGTACAAAACGGTACAGTGAGCAGCCCCAGGAGCGTCCGGTACAGACTGCGGACAGCGTGAAGGCTGCAGGGAGAAGCCCGGCCTCAGCTAGGATCCTCCGAAAGTATTCCAATATCCGAGAGAAGCTGCAGGTCCAGCAACGCACGCTTACACACAAGGCGATGCACAGAGAAGTGCTTCAGAAGCTAATGCCCCGGTCAAAGCCTGCAGCGGAGCAAAGGGAAAAGGTTGTAGCTGTCGCGAAAAACCATGGAGAGAGGCAGCCTCCTGCTTCAGTCAGTCATAAGCCTGTGGAAAAGGTCATCACCAAGGAGACAGGAGCCAAGAAAAGGTCATCAGCAGCTCTGAGTGTGAAGAACCATGACGAGCCAAAACGGTGTCTGAAAGTCAGCAGCAACGCTGACACTGCTCCACCGTGCCCATCGAATTCAAGGTCGAAAAAGAAAGCTGCCGTGTCGCCAGGAGAGGCCAAAGTGCATGGGAAGGTGCTCAGGAGCAGTGTTCCAGGGAGTGGGCTCCCTGAACACATGTTAGAAGTTAAGCCATCTGTCCAAGACCAAGTGGTGACAAGGTCTCAGAGGAAGACCGAGATCACAGCCATGAGCAGCGTGTCAAGATCTGGCATGAAGCGAACGCTGGACCTCAAAGTAGCACCAGCCAAGCGTACCAGAGCATCACATTTAAAATAAGACGTTTACGGACACCTGGACCTACCAGGGTTATCAAGTTTAAGATGGTTACAGTTGTGTTTGGGGGAAATAATGGGTACACTTGACTGTTTATTTTTGCTCTGTGTGTGTGCGCGTTTTTTAAATGGTGATGGGGACATATTTAAAAGTGGTTTTGAAGTGATTGAGTGTGTGTATCTGGTTGGGAACACTGGTCAGACTGCTGGCCAGAGATAGAAGAGGCTTGTTGGTGTCTATCAGAGAGCCAGCCGGGCTGTAGAGGCCCTGTCAGCTGCTGCTGATGCTGCTGCTACTGCTGAGGACTTGGATCCTCCAATTTCCTGTTACTCTACTTGCAATCAGAGCCGGAGCATGGTTTTAATGAGGTGCCTTATTTATCGATATTTAAAGTAATAAAGGTGAAGCAAGGGGGAAGGCTTGCTTTTCAACTTATTGCACAGACCCACGATCCTCCAGGGGTTGGGGCGTGTCTTCCTACAGGGGATTAAGGCCGGTCCCTGCTTACATACTTCACTTGACTTGTATAGAAATTTTGCAAGCAGGCCATCTTTCTTCCAGAAGGGCCAGGAGACACAGAAGTTTATATTAGCGATCAGAACCGTTGTTGAACTGTGACAGATATAGTATTGTGTACATTTTACTGTGGCTGTTTTTTTGTGTTGATATTTCTGAAGTAGGTCGCATCTGTGACTTTTCAGGTCCTCGTCAGCAGTGCAGTGTCATTTATAATTGATTTTTTTTTTGTACCAAAGTGTGATAAGTACCCATGTGGCACAGTGAGAAATTGGGTTGCTGGGAAATTTGTTCCTTTTTTGTGAGAATGTGACGAGTGCACGTTGAACTTAACAGGCCACCGCCACCAGGAACAAATGAGTCCAAACAGGCTTTTACTCCGTTCTTGTCCCACTGATGTTTCGATACCTTGACTGCTGTGACAGGTTGGTCTCTGTGGCATCATGGGTATTTTATTTATTTATCTGGACTTTTTATAAGAGGCCAAGTATGATGATGTTAAAGCCTGTATCTCAGCAGTCGCGGTGTCTGTGAGCATGCCCCTTCCCCTGCAGTGAGGGGGGGGTCAACATCTTGTCAGATGGCTTTCAGTGGCACAATAAAATGGCTTCCTTCATTATGTTCATTGGCGTCGTCCTTGGATGGTGCGTCCCAGTACAGTCCCCCCCCCCGGTGTGAAAATGTGATGTCTGTCATTCTTGACAAGGATCATCGGCCCTCTCTCGCATGCTACTGACAAATTCTGTTGTCCAGCATTTGCAGTTGGTTTGATCTTTAAGCAACCAGACGTCTCTAAATGCCTGTTGGGCTTTCGGAAGAAAAGTCCTCAAGTGCACCGATGCCACGTGACATCAGGTAGGTGTGAAACACAGCTTGTGCATTTTTCTGGAAAAAAAAACGATAGGTGAGACGCGGTGAAGTCGTCCTGTTGGCACAAGCTCGGTTTAAATGCAACTTGCGATGCTGTTGTTAAACCCTTCATGGCTGGGCATAGGAAAGGGAGGCTGTAAATGATGCAGCCCTCCTGCTGAGCTAAACCATCACCTGTATGCAAGTGCTATACAGGCTCATAATGCCTGTTGGAATGTCAAGTTGGCATCCCTGGCTGTGATGACGCCTCACTGGCCACAGGCCGTAGTGTCTCTCTTAAAAAGTGCCAACTAGGCTGTGATCATTTAATGATTGTCGGTTTCTAGAAGGACACAATCCACTGAAATGCTGTTTGAATGTTACCACGTTTCTTTTCCCCATTAGGAGTGATGTGTTGTGATCTGTGTCACCAATAGAGGGAGGTAATGCACTGCTCATCCTCTTGGCCTGCAGAACATCTGCTACGCCATGCCTTGTACTGGTGGCACAGCACAGTCCCCACCTACCAACTATGGTGTGACGACTCGAAGTTCTGAACTCTTCAACCTACAGAATGGCTCTTTGTGCAGATCCTCAGCTTTTCCTCCTGTCGCTGTCAGATTATGCTTTGTGGCAAGTTCATATTAGACTGTGTTTTGCTACATGTATATACTGTATAGTTGTCCCAGACATGGTTGTACCCCGGGCTGGGAGGGGGGGTGTCACTCTCTTGGTTGTGTGTTTGCTATATCCTAACTTTTAAAGGGTCACAGTGGAGCTGGGTACGCAGAAAGAAGACATTTCAGTAAGGTGTTTAAGTTGATGTATAGAAAAACGTAATGGCATAAGGGAGTAGTGGGGGTACATTGTTAAAGTATGAAACTGGGGAAACACAGCTGAAGCACAAACTTAAAAAGGAGGGGAAACTGACATGACTAAAGCTGCCGTACCACACAGTGATATTTCCTAAAGCAAAGAACACAGTAGGAATGGAAACACACACACCCCCCCCCCCTTAACATGATATTGCCTTTGAAATTGGAACAGTACATAACACCACAACAGACAACAATCCTGAGCCTTTATAGCTACAATACAGTGAACAACCCAGGAGGAGGCACTACCAGGCACACAATCCATTCACTCACACCAGCTAAAGACTTTACCAGTTAGATACGAGATGATTAGGAAGCCAGATTTGATAGATTTGATTTTAGCCAGGACATCACCCCCTACTGCTTTATGACATCTCATCTGAAGGACAACACCATTTTCTACAGCACAGTGGTCCTGCCACAGGATGGGCCGACCTGCTGGCCACACCAGCACCTCCCCAGTTAGTCTCCCATCCAAGTACTGGCCAGGCCCAAACCTGCTTAGCTTCAGATGGATTACCTACTCTGAACTGCAGGTGGTATGGCTGCTGACATACTTATGGGTGATTTGGTAACTCCAATTAACTTCAGCATGTTGTTGGACTGCAGGGGAAAATGGGAGCACCTGGAGGACACCCCACGACGACCTGGGGAAGACATACAAACTCCGCCCATGGAGCCACAGCAAGGACTTGAACCCTGGTCCAGGAGGTGTGAGGCAACAATGCTAACCAGTGCACCACCATGCTACCCTCATACCACAATCACATTTCTCAAATTGTTACATTTAAAACGGAAGAGCTGGATGTGCTAGATTTTATCAAGAATATATAGTTGAAATATAAAGACACAATGTGCCTATAATATGGGCGATACTGTACCAATGCTTACTACAACAAATAATACCAAAAGTGCTTTGGCTGCGGGTTTCTTTACTGAAAGGATCTGGATTGGCTACACACAAACTAGATCAGGGCTGCCCAGGTCTGCAACACAGTTTGCAGATGTCCGAGCGGAATTCAACATTCAAAGCGTTTATTGTCATATGTACAGTACAAAAGTGCATTTCTCTGTGCAATAAAGTTCTTACTTTGCTGTCCACACAAAAATGCTGAGGTACAATATAATAGAAAAAAATTGAAAAATAAATACTTTTCAGTGTAATGTGCAAAAGAGCTTAATGTGCAAAAATTACAGTACGAAGTAGTATGGCATGGTATGGTAGTATGGTAGTATGATGTCCATTATTCATACTCCTGTCGGCTGTTAAGGAGTCTGATGGCAGTGGGGAAGTAGGAGTTGTTAAGTTGGGAGGTTCTGGATTTCACACTTCTGTACCTCCGTCCTGAGGGCAGAAGTGTGAACAGCCCGTGTTGGGGGTGTGTGGGGTCTTTGAGGATGGAGGCCGCTCTCCTCTGCGGTGGTAGCTGCTCTGCAGAGAGGGCAGTGGAGTCCTGGTGATCTTCTCCGCAGTCTTCACCACTCTCTGCAGGCGTCTACAGTCCATAGCTGTAGTGCTGCCGTACCACGCGGTGATGCAGCTGGTCAGTGTGCTCTCCACGATGCAGCTGTAGAAGTTGCTGAGGATCTTGGTTGACATACCAAACTTCCTCAGCCTCCTCAAAAAGTACAGCCGCTGTTGAGCCTTCTTGACCAGCTGTGTGGTGTTCAGTGACCAGGCGAGGTCCTCACTGATGTGGACGCCCAGGTACTCTGCTCATCTTCTCCACTTCAAGCTCCCGGATGAACGGTGGCTGATGGGGCCTCCTTCTCTTCCTCATGTCCACTATTATCTTCTTTGTCTTGTCCGTGTTGAGGGTGTGGTTGTTGTCCTCACACCATGACTTGAGACCGGCCACCTCTCTCCTGTAGGCCGCTTCGTCTCTTCCAGTGATGCGACCGATCACTGCGGTGTCATCCGCGAACTTCAGGATGATGTCGTCTTTGTGGGAGGCGACATAGTCGTGGGTGAACAGGGTGTAGAGGATGGGGCTGAGGACACAACCCTGTGGGATGCCAGTGTTTGTGGTGATGCTGGCTGAAGTCCAGTCGCCGATCCTGACAGACTGAGGTCTGCCAGTCAAAAAGTCCAGGAGCCAGTCACACAGTTTGGGGTGCAGGCCGAGTGTGGTCAGTTTGTGGATGAGTTTGTGGGGGATGACCGTGTTGAAGGCGGAGCTGTAATCAATATCTTATCTTAATTACATCTTAATTAGCTAATTGCCAAGTTTAGTAGGTGTGCCTGAGCAGGGAAATCTGCAAACTTTGTTGCAGACTAGCTCTCCTGGACCAGAACTGCGGAACCCTGAATTAGATGAACAAAGCAGAATGAGTTTGACACCATAGGTTTCGAATGGTAGCAATTTTAACATGATTGACTTTTTAATGCATCTTTAAACATTCATGTGTCAGTATTACAATGGGAATTCAACAATGGAAAGTTAATAGTTCATCAAGGATGTTGGAACAACCATGACCTTAAAAAAGAAAGCTAGACGGACAGAAGATCTTGTATTCTCCTTTTGGTGACATTTCAGTTATGCTCTTTTATTCCCAAACTCTTGTTATCTTTGCACCTCCTTAGTGTATTTAATCTAGGGATCTACTTTGTCATTATTGTCCCAACCATCTACCCTGCTTCCTGCACAAACCTTCCCTTTCTGTCTGAGTGCCTCTAGGTGGCGCTCTGCTGCCTTCTATTTTTGCCCTTGAACAGAAGTCTCTCTCTCCATTGGCTGCTAGTCCAGGCAGCTGATGCATCTGAACACAACAGCTCATTGGGGAGATATTTGCCTTTAAATACCTTATTAAATTACTCACTTGGCACTTTTCCTCCAAACATTTATTTCGCATTATTCAGACCAAATTATCCAAACATTTTTATTCTGAAAAAGAAAACTTAGAACTCATCTGAAATTACTGAAGAACTTTTCCCGCGTCTTTTCCATGTTTGAGAGCGAGGCGCATGGCTTCTCCTGTATTTAGACAGGCTGTTCTTCAGCAGCCCTGTACAGCTGCTCCCAGTGTTGGTGAGAACAAATAACTTAACAGAACAAAAGCACTTTTAATTAATGTAGCAGATTGATAAATATGCATATACGAGCAGTTTAATTATCCCTACCATCCATTTTACCACCATCCCTGCAGGATTACCGTAAAGATCATCCCCATTCCCGCAATTAACGCAGGAATGTTTTATTCCCATTACCACAGATATCCGCAGTATTACCACTTCCACCATTCCTGCCCAGCCCTCTAGTATAGACCACAATTAGCTCCTCTATGTCGCCCAGCCTGCCACACTTGCAGCAGCTCATGAAGTTTCCAATTTACATTCAGTCCATCTACGGAAATGAACACTGGATAGCACAGGTTCGTTTGGTCTGCTGTGTGTGCTGAATATAATGAGGATTTATGTCTCTTTGGCACCTATTCATGCTACCTGATTCCTACATACAGTAGCACAAAATATTTAGAGGCACCTACCAGATGGAACTGGCAGACAGAAGGGGGATATCCCACCCAAGCTGCATGCCTTCTGGGCAGGATTGCATCACAAAACTGGCAAGAAGCTACATCCCATTTCCCTACACAGTGGGTGAACAGGAAAATGTAAAAACAGCGATGTCCAGTTTCCCTAATATAACTGGGGCAATCAACTGTACTTGCACCGCAATAAGGGCACCTAGTGAGGCTGCTTTTGTCAATCAAAAGCAGTTTAACTCTATTAATGGGCAAGTCATAAGTCACATGACTCGTTCATTTTGAGACAGTAGTTTCACTACAAGCCTTGCAGACAGGGCTGTATGTGATGGCTGGCTTGTCGGTAAGATGATAACACATATCCCATACTTCCTTGCTTTTTAAGTCACAATGGTGTGACTCATTAGAGCAGCCGTAGTCACTGCCTCACGCCTGCAGGAAACAACGGTTAACCCCGCAGTCGCTGGCTCCTGACCCTTCCCCTCACTGCCAGGGCGCAGAGAGGCACATGCTACCGCGTGATTAGCTGTATAGCACACAACAGGCCTCTTCAAATACAGGTGGCAGTGTCTGGATGCAGCAGGTGGGAAACTGTTGTACAACTCAACCAAGGTTTGCGGCATCACAGTGGTGTGCCATGGCACAGCGGAACAACCTGTTCAGCCCCCAACCTGCTTGATTTGCAGTCATGATCCTGACTTGCATCGCCACACACCTAACGCATCCCATGCCACTCCAGTGGTGGCACCCCATCCAGATGTGATGTGCTGCTTGTGAAGAACACGAGCAATGGTGTACCTTTTACCAAGATCCTTTAATGAAATAGATATTTTTCGCCTAGTAGCCTTTTCATTTCCCGGAGCTCTCTCGTCATCTCTTGCATCGCTGTGATGGTGTCCCTCTGTGTCTGTAGTACTGCATCCGTAAGGACGCGGCCGCTGTTGGCGGCTGTCGGAGCACGTGGCAATGGGATCTGCGTCTCTCGTGAAATGTGCTCGGGATTGAGTACACCTGAGTCCTCCACAGCAAATCCTGCGCCAGGTTCCACAACCATTGCTACACAAAAAGAATTATTTTACAACAATCAAAGCAGTGCCATTCATTTGTTTGATCAATAAAATGCTTATTTGCAGATTTCTTTCAGAAGCGAAATGGCTTTACCTCACCTACCCCATCGGTATCTCCCAAATTCTCTGTCAAACAACTGCATAATAGGACACCCCCTACTATAGATGCCATACGCATGTCTAAATTTGAGGGTGATGTGGGTTTGCCCATAACGATGGAGAGTCACACAGACCCTGTGCACAGCAAGGCTTTTCTTTCCCTCTGCCTTCATCCATTTTGTTTTTTTTTTTTATTTCAGCTGTAGTGAGTTCTGTAGAGCTGAATCAAGCAAATATTTACCATAGTATGCAAAAACAAACAGCCCCACCCCCAACCCTTCCCTGAGACAGCCCAAGAGAAGCATACTTTCACACTGAAATTTAGCCCCCGGGACACTACCACAGAGAAAGCCCCCTCACCTTGGCCACACGGCTGCCTTTGGTCCTTCCTGGTGGTAAGATCCAACGCTGTATTTTCATCTGCCATCAGGAGTGCGCCGATGATGGGATTCTGTGCAGGGCCTGGCAAAGACGGCACAGGCAGACTTTGGTCCTTGGTAATAGTGGGAGAGGGTCCTGAGAAGAGCCGTTTTCTGAGGTATACTGAACAAAAATATAAAAGCAACACAACCATTTCAAAGATTTGATTGAAAAGGAATTAATAAATGTAAATCTTACAGTTGAAATGGGTTTATTAGGCTTTCTAGGTCACAGATCCCCAAACAATAAGATGGTTTGTAGAAGGGAATTCCTTTTGTGTCTGATGTGATCAGCATTTCCCTGTGACACATCTCCTTAGAGTTGATTGTTGACTGTGGTCTGTGGAATGTCGCCTCACTGTTCAACCTCTGTGTGAATTTGTCTGAGATTGGTGGGATCTGGAATACTGTGCTCTGGATCTGTATGGATCCAGATAATCCCAGAGATGCTGAATGGGTGACATGTCTGGTGAGTATGCAGCCATTGTGCAGGCCTATGACTGGACGGGCTACCAAAAGCAGACGAGGCTAATGGTAGAGAAACGGACATTCATGATTCTGACTACAGCTCTACTGGACTGGATAGCCTGCAACCAGGATGTCAATGGCATTAGGGACTTTGTGTTTCTCAACAAAAACTGCACGTTTTAGGCTTCCCCTTTATTGTGCCCATAAGCAACAGCTATATAGTGATTATGCTGCTCCGTCAGCGTGTTGATATAAAGTTTTTTATTTGGCAAAACCAGAAAAACATATACTCCTTGTATGCCTCCAAAAGTGTGGCAGTGTGGCATATACATTTCGTCCATTCCACAGCAATCATTCGCGGAGTTACTCTGGGAGCGAATAGAGAAACGTAGGGCTCAACGAAGTTTGTACTGTGCGCTGTGCAGACTGGCGAGGAACCTCACATTTATCACTTGTGACATTAATAAGGAGCCACGTTACAGGCGCAGGTTAACATTCTTAAATTTAAAACTTCCGCAATACACTCACTACAAAAGGTGACATTCAGAAAACCTTCCGCTTGCTTCTGCAGTCTGAATTATTCAGTTTTACGGCTTGATGACTATTTTGTCCCAAAAGACCAAGGCTTGACTTTTTGAACCAAAACAAGGCACCAGAGAATACATGCAGAAAAACCCGAAGGCCAGCACACGCTTAACTTTGCAGGTTTGCCAAAGCTTCTTCTCCAGATGCGTGTTTAACGCGCTTCGGTCTAATTAATACTTTAGGGAAAGCCGACTAGCTGCCGCAAGGGGGCGCCACTGCTCCGTTCCTTCAACTGAAGATACGAGAAACGGCGTTGCTACCTATTTTATTATTTTGTTCAATAAAAGCGTTTGAATTGTAAAGCGGTGATGGCGTTTTAACGCTTCAAATCCGAAAGCATGGAGCCCAGAAAACGGCCGTCCTTACCGGCAGCGGCGGTCCGGGTGAAAACGCTCCGGATAACGGATCCACCGGCTCCTGCCTACCTGAGCGTCAGCGTGAATGGTATCGGCACGGCTGCGGCTGTTTTGCCTCCGCGATACTCTCCTACATTTTATGTTTAAAAAGAATCTGGGCCGAATGTACTCCGAATGAAAATGTGTCGAAGTGAAACGGCCGAACAACATTTCAGCCAGAGGCTGCAGGCGCGCAGGTCAGACGCCAGCTGCCGACTGGGGGCTTCGCTCAGTTCGCTGAAAGGCGGAGAGCGACACGTCCCGTTGTAGTTTTTAATCTTTAAGGGACAGCGTGCAGACGTGTATATGGTGAATCAACTTAACTTTTATCTATCTATCTATCTATCTATCTATCTATCTATCTATCTATCTATCTATGTATCTGTCTATCTATCTATGTATCTATCTATCTATCTATCTATCTATCTATCTATCTATCTATCTAACCATCTTTAAATTGCTGAAAAATTAGGCCCTCCGTACCATAATGCTAATCTACAGGATATTTCACAGGTGATCATACTTCCGTAGGTTTAAATGAACACTGAATGCCTTGATGTTGGACAGGAGTACAATATTTAATACTAATCCGGTTCTCATATGTCACATTTGCTGGATGCACACGTTTTGGTACCATAAGCTTCTTTTCACAGTTTAAAATAAATAAATCGAACTTTAAACAATGCATGCCTTTGTCCTGCAATGCAATCTGAAAGAGCATTAGCAATGGCCTCCATACAGCAGACATTTGTGTGTCTTATACAGTACATCCAAGACAAGTCAAAATTCAGCTGCTTAACAGGAATAAATCGATGTCACGTTGGATTGTGCAGTACTGTATGAAGGCAGAACAAATGGGTTAGTTTGAATACTTGACTCATTTATATGCCCAAACAAACACAATTTATAGGATCAGACCACCACAGTTGTTACCCATTGGCATAGCCTCTGATTTTGAAAAAGTATATTTTGTAACCAGAATAAGTATGAAATACATTAATGCTTTGTATATGATGTTTAGTTGAAGTAGCAGGCTTTGACACAAAGACCATATCAGTTTGAGTCATGCTGTACAGCAGCCTCTCTGATGCATGTCTGCTGCTTATGCTGAAACAAAATAGTCTAATAAACTTGTAAACATAATGGCAGCAGCTCTGAGGACAGCTTGGACAAAATCACGGACATATCAAATTTTACTTGTCCATCTTCCATCAATTTCCTCGTAGAAAGCTGCAAGCAGGTGGGGACTGCAGCCTTTACACTTTTAATGTCAGTTTTTATGTTTTATTTATACAGTGAAGCACAGCTCATACCTGATGTTGGGTAAGAAAACTGCACTATTGAAAATTAAAGTACGTATTTTTCCATTAACCTTTGAGGCCCATCATTAAAAACTCATAAAGTGACTATATTAAAGTCAGATAAAAGTTTTAAAAGTTCTTTTTAGTCTTACAAAACACAGATTATCAATCACAAAATTGTTGTCTTTAAATCTTTACATTCAACTTTAATTTCCTTAAAAAGGATTTTTTAGATCAAACATTGTAAAACACCATAAGCTTAAAGTGTTTAAAAAGGACACAGGTACAAATGTCAAAAACCCACTTCCACAAAAATCTTTAAAAATCTGGAGGAATTTCTACCAAACATAGGCAAAGGGGTTTTTTTGGAGAAACTGTACAAATTCTGCCAGACTGACAGCCAGCCCATCATGGGTCTGTCTCCGAGACCAGCTGCCCTCAGCCAGCTCCTACAAGGCTGTGCTGATCCCTGTGCTGATCCCGGCATCCTTTGCCATGCTGTAGAAATGCCCTTTCTTGTGGAGGAGGGCACTGGGGGTGTCAAACTCCACTATCCTCCCAGCATCCAGCACCATCACCCTGCAGAGTTACAGAGAGCATCATGTTTTAATGAGGTACAACACCCAGCCATGTGCTGTGGCCCTTCAGCTGCTTCTCATGTTCGTCTGCATCCCTTTACCCCCTAGTCCTGCTTCCCCAGCCTGGCTACAGTTTGCTGTATGGATGATGGCTAACTCTGGCCTCTGAGCCCCTGGTACAGTCTTCCCTTCAGACTAACTCTAGTTATATGCCTCTTGGTTCTAGGGTCCATGATATCCTCAGAGGTCCTGCAGGTGTCAACCTGAGAATCAATTTATTGCAACTGCAAAACTCTGCCACTAGATGGCACTACATATGTAGTGAGAACCTAATACCCACGTAAACAAATGATGGAAGTAGAGCTTGTTAATAAAGGCCAAAGAGTTTAGATGACTACGTTAGATCTGGTGTACAGGTCCGTCTCACCTTGAACTGTCCATGATGGTGTGCAGTCGGTGAGCAATGGTGAGCACCGTGCAATGGGAGAACTCCTGCCGGATGGTAGCCTGGATGAGGGTGTCTGTTTCAAGGTCCACGGCAGCTGTGGCCTCATCCAGAATCAAGATGCGAGACTTTCTGAGCAGGGCTCTAGCCAGGCACAGGAGCTGTCTCTGGCCCACGCTAGACACACACACACACGCGCGTGCACACACACACACACACACACACGTTAGTATTAATATTGTTGTGGGGCCGTCCATTCATTTCTCTGGGTATAACCCTAATCCCAACAATTAACCATAAGTATCCAACCATAACCATAAGTATCCAAAATTGATCACAATTTTTTATAAAATTGAATTTCCTCTTGTGGTACTGAAAGAATGCTCCCCACAATGTCAAAATAACAGGTTTTTATCACATTGTGGGGACATTTGGTCCCCACAATGTAATATATGCATAACCACCCCTCCACACACACACACAATTAAAAACTGGGCCTCAACTTGGAACTCAATGATTTTCATTTGGAAGTGGAGTCCAGGTGGAGACACAGGTATCTGTTCAAAAGCCTTCAGGATGAAAAATTTGAATACAGAGAAGCATTGCTCTTCCAGAAGAATTCAGTGATTTTTGAAATACATTCCAACAGCGACCCCTACTGCACAACTTCACTCCAGTGTTCCAGGCAAATAAAGTTTTTAGCTGCTCTGAAAGAAGTCGGTACCAACAGGGGAAACTGGGGAGTAAGTTAGACACAGACTACATTCTAGAAGCAAATATAAGTGACTAAGTAAAGGTCTGCGATCAGGCCTACCTGGCCGGGCACTGGTTACACCTGGTCATTTGCTGGCATTGGAATAGTCTTAGGAGATCCAGAAGCATACAACCCCATACCTGAGGTTTTCTCCTCCTTCTGTGATCTCATGGTACAGTCCGTCCAGTAGCCCCGCCACAAACTCCTTCAGATGGGACAGCTCCAGCACCTGCCAGATCGCCTCATCGCTGAACTTCTCAAAGGGATCCAGGTTCATCCTCAGCGTCCCTGAGAAGAGCACCGGGTCCTGTGGTGCACCGAACACAGCATGTGCAGTGATGCTGGAAATGCGTCCCCCCCCCCCCCCCCCCCCCACCAGGCAAATGTGAGTGCACGTGTGAGTGTGCACGTATGAGTGTGAGATTATGTCCCTTACCTGAGGGATGATGGTGAGTCTTCCCCTGAGGTCATGCAGGCCCAGCTTAGCGATGTCAACGCCATCGATGAGAATGCGGCCATCTGCGGCCTCGATGAGACGGAACAGGCAGTTCGTGAGGCTGGACTTCCCCGCTCCGGTTCTGCCCACGATGCCGATCTGAGACCCAGAGGTAAAGTGACTCAGTGACAGGCTGATGTCTCTGTTCTCATGTGTCCACACCCTGATAGCCACGTACACCATCGGATACACTTCACACACCCATACCTTTTCCTTGCCGCTGATGTCACACGTGATCCCTTGCAAAACCAGATCCAGCTCAGGCCGGTACCTTACTTTATAGTCTTCAATGTAGACCCTCCCGGGTTCGGGCCACGAGTCCGAGGGGTGGACGTCTGTGACCCACGGCGCCTAGAGAAGCAGCAGCAGAAGCGGGACGGTGAGCCGTGAGGAGGTCCAGTGACCGGAGTGATGGATAATGGTTGAGAGCCCCAAGCCCGGGGAGGCCCACCTCGTTCTCGATCTGCGTGTACTCGCTCACTCGCTCCACGGCCACTATGTTCGTTTCCAGCTCGGAAGTCATCCTCACCAGCCAGTTCAGTGTCTGTGTCACCTGCAGTTACATGAGAGGTACAGTTAGCTAAATCAGATTGATTTGAGTCTCGAGTCACTACTCCAAGACTCATGAGTCCTCTAAATTTTGCACGCTGTCTTTATGCCACAAGATCATCACTGGTCACGGGCCCAAAGAGATCGTAGTTGAATGACACAACTGCTGCCTTACATTGAGTGCATAGGAGATGGATAGTCCCACCAAGCCGCTGTCCAAGCTGTCTCGGGATATCACCACAAAGAGAGCTGAGAAAAACACCACCAAGTTGCCCAAGGACTCCAGGCGAATGGCCAACCACCTGGAATGTAAAGAAGACACGTATAAGCGAGAGAGCCCAATACAACCAGCAAGCGAGGACCAGAGGCCGGCTGGCACACCTGTTGGAGACGATCCAGGCGTAGACGCTCTTGTGGTTCTCATCGATGGTGCGCCTGTTGTGCCTGAGGAAGCGCTCCTGGTGCCCATAGGCCCGGATAACAGACAGGCCCGCCACCGTCTCTCCGAAATGAGAATAGATGGGCGAGCGCGACACGGAGTCTAAACGCCTCAACTGTCTAGAGGTGGCGACATAGAGCCTCTAAGGAGCAGAGCACAAACAGAGAGCGCTGACAGGCGCAATTCTCCTTCATGGACAACAGCAGTGGAGAAAAGCAACAGATCGAAAGAAAAAAACTGATTATTCCCAGTGCAACAGTCTCAGGTTATAACTGCCCAGTGCCAAAATTTTTAGGAGAGGCTTAGCAAGGAAGGCTAGCCACAATGCTGACTAGGAAAATGTACCCTTAATGGGGGGCAGTCTGTATTGTGGTGTTTTAAGGTTAAATTGAATTGCTTTGTTTGCCTGAGACCTAAGCACAATACGTAGATATGACTGTTTGTGTTGATCTGGTAGCCGTACACCGAGGATGGAGTCCCACCCATGTGAGGGAGACCATGGTGACAGAAGGATGCTTTTGCAAGGGGTTTCAAGAATATCACATCACCTGAGAAAAGGCTGCTTCTTAAATCACATCAAAACACATGTGGTCATACCAAACAGTGGGGCTTTGTTAGCATTGGTTATCACTGGTTAGTGATTTGGGCTGCCAGTTGGTGTCCTGGCATTCTCCTGTCATGTGACTCACCATGGATGTTACACGCTACAGGCACACAGAGGCCATCTC